CATAGTTTAATGATATTTTACTAGCCCGGCTGGTGTGATTCATTGGTTGAGCATCAACCCAGGAACCAAGAGGTCATGGTGTTGACCCATTAGTAGCTGAGTTTTTTAGAAACATCATGTGCTGAAACCAGTTTGGCTCAGTGGATAAAGAATTGGTCTGCGGACTGAAAGATTCCAGGTTCGATTCCAGTTAAGGGCATATATCTTGGTTGCGGGCACATCCCCAGGAGGCAGCTGATCGATGTTTCTCTCCCATCCATGTTTCTAACTTCCTATCCCTCTCCCTTCCTCTCTATAAAAAAAAAAAAAATCAATAAAATATATTTTTTTAAAAAAGAAAGAAAAGAAAGAAACATCATGTGCCACATATCCCACAACCCAAGCATGTGCCTTGACCAGGAATCTAACCATGACCTCTTGGTTCATGGTCAACACTCAACCAATGAGCCACATAGGCTGGGTGGTGTTTTGTTTAAATAAAAAGGTGGACCTACGAAAATCACGAGACTATAGTGATTGCTAACGAAGTTATAAAATGTGTCTGAGGTATAAGGATAGACTATTAGATCAAAGGAACAGAAAAAGAGGTGAGAAACATCCCCACACACAATAGTCAGTCACCTAATGTTAGACATCCTTATAAAAACAAATTAATTTTAAACCATTCCTCATGCTGTATACAAAAATTAATTTCTGACGGGGGTGGGGGGAATGTAGCTGAGTACCAATAAAGGAAGAGAAAGTGGATTGAGTAACTAATTGCTTGGGTGACATTTTTTTTGGGGGGGGGGGATGGGGGAGAAATTACCATGGGCATGAGGATAAGCATACAATCCTTCTTTGTTTCTGACCTAGAAGAGGAAATGCCAGCGAAGAGGGAGAGAGGCAAAGGCAGTTTGGGGTCTTCACACCACTTGATAAAGACAATAAATCAATGTTAACAAAGCAGGAAGGAAAGCCATAGAAATCCCACTGTTTGCAATGAAGCACCAGATGCTGTAAGCCACAGGCAAACTGATAGCTTGCTTTTCAGAAGCTCTCTTATGAGCAGAAGTAAAGGTTTTCCTGTAGCAAAAAAGAATCCTGGTCTTATCTAAATGGCAACTGATAAAATTAAGACAAGCTTTTCCTTTTTCCCTATTATGTTACATATGGCAATTTAGTAAGTTGGTAGACATCTTATATTGTTGTTTTTTTTTAAAGTGATTTATTAATCCTATGTAATAAAAGTGTAATATGCAAATCGACTGAATGGCAGAACTACCGGTTGGTGGGGGGTGGAGCTGGCAAGTAGGTGGCATCAGGCCAGCCAAGGCACATGCGAGTGGGCAGAGGGAGAGGGACAGCAATGAGGAGGGGGTAGCAGCGGAGGGGTGATGGTGGGGGCAGGGCCCACCGCTTGCTGGCTCCGATGCCATCCCCTGATGGGCCCATTTGGTAAGCTCCCACAGAGGGAGGCCTACGGCAGCAGTGGCAGGCCAAGTGGGCCTAAGCAGTCAGTCGGACATCCCCTAAGGCTTCCCAGACTGAAAGAGGGTGCAAGCCGGACTGAGGAACCGCCTCCCCCAGTGCACAAATTTTCATGCACCAGGCCTCTAGTAGAGAAAGAAATAATTGACTTATTATCTGCAATCTGAGCTGTGGGTAGAGGGCTGATTTTGGTGTTCCCACCATTTGCTTGAGGAGCTATGGGAATATTTGGGAAGTGGCAGTAAAGGGTGAAGGAAGAAGGGCTGATCCAAAAGTCTCCACAGTGAGATCATGTCAGACCTCATTTTTTTCTTCATTTAAACTGATTCCCGCCCTGGTCAGTGTGGCTCAGTTTGTTGAGTGTTGTCTCATGCACTGAAGGGTTGCTGGTTCCATTCCAGGTGGGTTTGATCTTCGGTCAGGGTGCCTACAATAGGCAACCAATTTCTGTTTTTCTCTCACATCAATATTTCTCTCTCACCCTCTTCCTTCCTCTCTCACTAAAATAAATTAAAAATATTAAAACAACAACAACAACAACAACAACAACAAAACAACCCACAGATTTCCTACCTAACTCTGGGAACATTCTCAATTTAAGCTACTTTCTTCCGCCTAACCACTAAACAGAAGCTTCTTGAGGGGAGGGCTCTGTGTGGGCACTGGGCTCCTAACAGTGCTTTGCAGAGTGAGTGTGTCATAGATTGTCACGGAAGGTTTGAATGAAGGAATCATTCTGCAGCATCACAAGGCAAGGGTAGAGACAGCAGGATGGGGACTGTGGCTCAGGGTGTTCATCATTCTATTAGAAGGAAGTGTCAGAACTGGGGTTAGACAGAATTTGTGTGACTCCTAAGTGAGTTCTCTTTCTGCCACCTGTGATGGTTAACCTGGTTGCTGTCCAGGTGCTCCTGAAGGGTTGGTGCACTTTATAGTGCAATTCTGGAGGTAGCACAGACTGCACAGGTTGAGGGCACAGTCTCAGATCACAGGATTTCCACGTCGCCCACACTTCTGACAAATTTGACACAAACGTAAGGGTTCCAGTTAGCCCCTCAGATCCAAGAATATACAATGCATTTAGTTGTCCAAACTCTTTGGTCTTCTCCAATCTGAAAGAGTTCCCAAGTCTGAAAGGGTGCAGGCCTTTTATTCTATTTATCTCTGAGAAAAATCCCCTCATCCTGGGTGTCATAAGTGGACTCAGACATGAACTTTTGGCAGAAATATCTCAGAAATGGTTAAGTGTTCGTAGTGATCAAGGGGAGAGACGCTGTTTACCTATCTACTGATGGTTGATGTTAACACTGATTATCTTTTGTGTCATCAAGGCTTTCCTTGGTATATGATTAGTTTCTGAAGGAAGATATTCTAAGATCATGTCAATATCTTATTTATCATCAGACCTCACCCCTCCAAAGGTATCATCCATTGATGAATCATGCCCAAACCAACCAACACCATTTGTTGCTAAATGGTGATTTTCTATTTCCATTCCTTCTACATTTACTAGTTGGCATTCTACTGTAAGGAAAACATTTCTTATTTATTTATTTATTTATTTATTTATTTATTATCTGTCTATCTATCATCTATCTGTCTATCTCAGATTCAATTTTATTCAGTGGGTGTAATCTATTCCTTCCTATCTTGTATTTTTTAAAGTTTAGGTTGTCCCAGATTTGACTGGTGCCAGCCCCTTTAGGCTGATTCTGTTTGCTTGTTATATAGCCCCAACATTCTCTAAACTCTTCCTTTTTTCCCCAGCACAAAAAGGTATTCCAGTATCATCTGGTACTTTATTTGCCCTAGCCCTGGAATCAGCCATTTCTTCCAGGAGCACTGGATCTTTTTAGTGGAGAAGGATATTTGGAAATTAAGACTCAGTGTTTGGTATACAAATGACAATCAGGACATCATTGATCCTCGGTTCTTTCAAAAGTAAATCACTCGTTTCTCTCTCTCTCTCTCTCTCTCTCTCTCTCTCTCTCTCTCTCTCTCTCTCTCTCTCTCTCTCTCCAATGATTCTCTCTAGCCTTTCCCTCTCCATATTTCAAGTACTTTCTCCAATAGAAAAAAAAACCATCTTCCATTATCCTCAATATATTTATACCTTTGCTCAATCTTCCTGTAGGTAACCAATCACCTAACCACCCCAGCCATCTCTGCCCAGCCCCACCTCCTCCTTTGCTCTGATTCTGGCTTTGCTGCCACTACCAACCCCTCAGCCTCACTGCTTTGACCTGTGGTTATCTCACCACCTCCAAGAGAAGGAAAAAGAAAAAGAGATTAAAAAAAAAAAAAAGGTGAAGGAGAAGAAACCAGACTTTTCTTTTGTCTTCCCAATCTTTGTTTTTACAAAAGCATCAGAATCTACACTGGATTGTTATATCAAAATAATGCTAACATTTTTCTTAGTATTTATCTCATGTCAGATTCTGTCCTAAGGACTTTTATCTAATTCAATCCTTATAAAACCATCCAAAATAGATGCCATTATTTTCTATGTGTTATAATGGTTGTATGTAGGCTTGGTGGCATACACACTGCAAAGATATTCAAAAGAGGAAGGTCATTGCTGGCGAGTTTTAAAAGTTGCCTTTGGGGGCCCTCTCTGCTTCACCAGGAGTAGGCTGGATTCTCCAGTTATGTATGGTACCACGTGAGAAACTTGAGTTAAACTGGAGCCAGTGTGATTCAGAACTAGGCACGGCCTTGTAGATGGGTTTCCAGGCAGCCACCTCATTGTCCTCCTCTTACTCCAGCTCTGGCTCTAGGCTAGGAAGCCATGGCATCAGGATGTCGGGCAGTCTGACTTCTGGTCAAGAAAGTAGGAATAAAGAGGGCACCTAGCTTCTTATCAGCACTCCCTTTCCTGTGGTCATGCTTCTTGTGTGGGGACTGTGCCACTTAATCCCTTCATGTTGAGTCCTGTCCTTCTCTCTTGTCCAGCCCCACCATTCCACAGAGCAGCTTGGTCTAGTTGAAATCCTCAGAGTCCAGTGGACGAAGGTTAAAAATCCCAGGTTAATCCCATGAGCTGTGTGGCCTCCTCAGTTTCCTCATCAGCCAAATGGGGGATGTAACACCTACTTACCTGTGTTGTATGGATTTAATGAAGCAATGTATGTAAAGTGCCTAGAAGTGCCTACTGCAGACCCTGAGTGTTGCCGACTAAATTGGATACCACTCAAAGCACACTTTTTACATAGTGGTTGCTCAGTAATTATTGTTTGGTTGGAATGAAATGCAGAAGCACAGGATTCGTGTTCTTTGCCTTGCTGCGTTTTCTCCTTCGCTTCTGCTCTCTCCTCTTAGTTCCTCCATCTCTGCCTCATTTTGCCAGTTTGTTCATTCATCACATAGAGCACACAGTGTACCAGGCCTTACACTAAGTGCTAGAGAATCACAGATGGATAAAACATTAAGCAGGAATCTCACCCTAGAGAATCATACCTCCTGGGCTGCCTGAGGACTGTGGGAGCCTAGAAGGAGGCACCTCTGAGTCATGCCCGTTTTCTCCTCCGCAGGAGGTCATTGCCTCCATCCTGCTGAGCGGGCGGATCGGGCCCAACATCCAGCTGGCTGAGTGCTATGGGCTGAGGCTGAAGCACATGAAGTCAGATGAGATCCACTGGCTGCACCCGCAGATGACAGTGGGTGAGGTGCAGGACAAGTATGAGTATCTACACGTGGAAGCCGAGTGGAGGTAGGAGAGGAGCCCTAGGCTCTCGAATGGGGGGAGATCGGTGTGGGATGGGAAGGCCCTGGAGGTGCTTTCTTGGAGCACTTCCCAACCTCTGAGAGTCTTCTAGAGCATCTGACTGACGTTTTAGGCTTAGTCTTCTCCAATAGAAAGCGTCCAATGCATGTACTTGCCAAAGCTTAGCATGGGCTTACAACACATTCCCATCCAAGGCAGGTACCTAGAAACATCCCCAGGCAGGATGCTGTTGGTACTGTGGAGAAGGAGGAAGAGAATTCTGGGAGAAGGGTGAGCCAGGCCAGTGGCTTGTCCAAGGAAATTGGTGGCCATAAAGATGAAGTGTGGGAAGTCAGCACCTGTTGGCCACCCATCTGTCCTCTGTGGTCCTCCACCCAACCAAAAGTCCTAAATGGGTGGCCAGGAACCACAAGTGGCGGGTGAGGTTGCGTCTGCTTTGGCCAGCCCTACTCCTCCTTTAAATACAAGAGTCTTAATCTCCTGTCCTAGGTATGACCTTCAAATCCGCTACTTGCCAGAGGACTTCATGGAGACCCTGAAGGAAGACAAGACCACGCTGCTTTATTTTTACCAACAGGTAAAAAATAACTCCTGGGCCCAGGGTCCTATTACACCTTAAATGCCAACTATTAGCTAAGCTCTCCTAGGAGATAAAAGGACAAAGCCTTGGAGGTCCTAGTCCAGAACATTTCTCTTGGGGATATTCCTTGACCCCTGATCAACTGTCTAACTCGGCCTCTCTTACAGTTAATTAAGTGCCAGCTAACTCCATCCCAGACACTCACGGCTCCTCTTGGACTTTCCTAATGGCTATTTACTGCCCAGGAGACCTGGCTGGTGAAGCAGGCAGAGCAGGTCTGCCATCTGACACACCTGGTTCCTCGTCCAGCTCTGCCATTTTCTAAATTCGTACCCCTGAGGATTTCACCTGCATAAAGCTTCTATAAAATGGGAATGATGATGATGATGATGATAATAATAATAATTTATAGGGTTATATTATTGAGGACCAAATGATATTATTAACAATGTGCTGGTAAACCAGCTCTCTGAAGAAAAACAAAACAAAACATAGAACTTGCCAATTTCAATGGTGTAAATAGACCTGTTTCAAGCTATCTATGTGATATCAGCTTGAAAATTTTCAAAACATTTAATAACTGGCTTTCAATAGCTGTTTGGAGTTGCTCCAACATACCAACTATAGTGCATGTAAAGTTCCTGGCACAGAGTGAATGCCAAGTAAATGTCAGTTGCCTGATCTTAGGTTCCTCCTTTATCTCTTTCCTGGTTTGCTAGAGACCATGCCAGCTTCCCTTGTACAGTGTATGACACTTGTCATTACTTACCAGCAAGGCCTTGGGTAAATTCCTGACTCCTTCTCCAAATCCCAGTGTTCATATCTCCAAAATGAGGACTGGGGGAGGGGAACTGGAACTTCCTGTCTCGTGGAGCCAATGGGAACATGTCTAAAACACTTCAAAAACCCTGAGGACCTCAGCCTTTGGAGGCTTGGTCAGCACTGCTCAGGGTTCTGGAGGGAGGCAGGGGCAAGGAACCAAGGTTGAGCCTCTCCCTCTTGCTCTTAATCTCCCGGTATGCATTTGTGCATGGCGGGCATGTGAGAGAGACAGACGGGATTGTGTTCCAGGCATCCTGGGGCCTCTGCTTAGGGAAACAGGGAATGAGGGTGGGAGTCTCAGCCTCGGCTTTTCTTCCCGCCAGCTCCGGAATGACTACATGCAACGCTATGCCAGCAAGGTCAGCGAGGGCATGGCCCTGCAGCTGGGCTGTCTGGAGCTCAGGTATGTGGCCTTTGGGCCTCTCCATGGAGGGGGCCATGCTTCTCCTCCTGTGCTGGACTCCTGGCCAGCTGACTTTCCTCCAGGGTCGGAAGTAAGAGTGGATATGTGAGAACCGGGAGGGGGCAGTGGTGGCCAACAAAGGATCAGGCACTGAGGTGCTTGCCTGCCCGGCTGGTCCTCTCTGCCTGGAGTCCCCACCTTCCTTTGGCTGCGCTGCTTTTGCCTCCAGGGTGCCTGCTTCTTCCACCTCTCTGTCATCCTAGTGATTCAGTGATGTTTCTTTGAGCCTTAGGTGAGATTCTGGGAGATATTCAAATGTTGGGTTTTCTAATCTGTGTTCACCCACTATGTCCCCACCTCAGGTGGGTACCAATAAATACGTTTGAAATTAGTGACTTATTCAAAAGGTCCTCAAATTTACAGAGTTTTGGAGGTGACAGTTGTGTCTACAGTTGACCATAATACAAGGCAGGATGAAATATGTGCCTAACAGATGTGCCTAGAGGAGCCATGGATCCTGCCGTAAGGCATTAGGAGGTGGGGATTTGAACTGCTCCAGGAAGGAGGAGAGAGATTTCCATCAGTAGATAAGGGGGGGTTTTGAGCAGGGGAGTATGCATTCCGGGGTCAGGGACCAATGGAAGGGAAAGAACAGATTGGAGGATAATGGGAAATGAGTTGTGGGAAGTAAGTTGGGACTGATGATGACACTTTGAATGACACTCTAAGAAATAGGCCTTACTCTTGGCTGCTCTCTTTAGCCGGGTAAAAGTTATGGACCTGTGCTTGTCCATAGGCACTCTGTCCACCTGGTGTGTTAGCCAGTTAAAATGGCAGGCCTGGATTGGGGAGAACCAGCCAGGCACTAGAGGGCCCTCCTAGCAGGTGCATCCTCATTCAGTGATGGCAGTTGGGGCAGATTTGGGATAATTGGGTGCTCACTGGCAGCAGCTGAGATGGGGTTCAACCCAGAATATTGTGAAGTTCAATCTCTGGAAAAAGCAGTACATCTGATTAGCAGTGGTGACTGGTTACCCCCAACATCCCAGTGATTTTCAATTGTCCAAATGCTAGAAACACACAGAATATGAGTGGTTGGGTTCCTTCGTCAAAAATAACTGATCTTCAGGACATGAAAGGAGGGCAATCAATGATATAGGGACTGCATTGGATTTCAAGAGATTGGGATGACTCGGTAAAAACCTGAGTTACCTTTTTCCTAATTAAACATTTTTCCATTTGCCACCTCCTTAATCATTCTAAAATTGCTATTACTTTCATATATTTTAATTCCTCAGTGTTCACTTCAAAATGTGTTTACCCTTGCATTTAGCCAACCCCAGCTTTTATTTTACTAAGGCTTATTTAAATATTTTAATCCTCAAAATTCTTTTATCCATCCCCAGTATCAATGCTCATTCATTCATTCATTCATTCACTCAACAACTATTATAAGCCAGGAGTGACATTAAGAGACCACTGTGTCAGGACTTGGAAGCAGCTCTCCTCCCCTTAGTGAATAATACATCCCTTTGCCTGGCATACTCTTCTGATGCCTTTGTTCAGCCCAGTAAACTGTTCTTTATTCTGGAAGCTTTAGAAAATTTACCAAGCCAGTGCTGCCTGCTTGCCCACTGCATTCACAGAAAACCTCAGAGCACACCTGTGAAGTGTTGCTAATAAGCAATATGGTGGCCATAGGCTCTTCCTGCAAAGCTAGCTCATGTGCTTTAATTGGGGATGTCTGCTATGATTTCATGATTTAGATGTTCTTCCGAATTCCATGACTTGGGAATATTTTTCCAGGTTTTCTTGTAGTTTTAAAACGATTTTATTGTTACTCTTTAATCCGTTGGCAATAAATGTTTTATCCCTTTAATGTTTTATCCCTTTAATCCATCTAGAATAAATGTTTAGATCAAGTGCGAGATGAGGAAATAATTGCTATTCTCCAATCATAATGAATTGTCTAAATTCGTATCCTTTGAATGTTAAGTTACTTGCCTCTCTCTCTGCTTATAGTTCCAGCACAAACTGTTCTCAGATGTGTATAAAGACAGCTGGCTCAAGGAACACTGAGTCACTCTAGTGTGGGATTAAAAGTGTGACAATGTCTACAACAGTCAAAATGACTAGACGTGGTGAACCAGGCAGAGAATGAAGGAGACTCAAGTGGGGACATTGGCTATTTGGTCTCTACTCAAACAATTGCTCAACTAAATAATCATTAAAATCTCCATCAAGACATACTTAATGGGAAATAACGTATATTAAGAAATGAATAAATGTATTTTCTAGGAGTGAGGTTTGTGTGTTTTCCTTTTCTTCATGGTTTTCTAAGTATCAAATTTTCTACTCTCCTAATCTTCTCCCTCCCAATGGTTCTCACATGTGGCAGGGGAAGGGGACTGGGCAAGCAGGCTCTGGTGGCTTTGTTCTCCAGCCATCGGTTTCTCCATGACATCTCTCTTTTTCCAGGCGGTTCTTCAAGGACATGCCGCACAATGCACTTGACAAAAAGTCCAACTTCGAGCTCCTGGAGTAAGTCCTGAGACTGGCCCCTGCCTCTCCTCCCTTCTCACTGCCCTACTTTCCCTACTCACCCCTACTTCACTCATCCCCAGACCAGAGCCAGGCAGGACCCATCTCCCCAGTCCTTGAGCCCTCTCACCTCTCCCGATTGGCCAGAACCCTGGGTTGAGGGAGAGGGGTTGTCACATGATGCTTTCCTTCTTCTTTTAGGAAGGAAGTAGGACTCGACCTGTTTTTCCCAAAGCAGATGCAGGAGAGCTTAAAGGTAAGTGAGCAAGGAGCCCAGAAAGAGCCCCGTTGTGCTGGTCCCCAGGACTAGAGCTGAAGGTATTGGGCTGGGATATAGCCAGAGTGTCTGTGCCTTCTTGGGCCATTTGGACTACAAAATGCACCCAGTGGGACCTTTCCATGGCTGGGCCTCAGGAATATTTGCTCTAACTCCACATCAGAGGCCAGTTGGCTGTGTGGCCTGATCACTGGGGCACTGACTCCCACCCAGGGCTACGGTGAGCCTCCCTAGAGACAACAGACATGTGCTCTAGGTGAGAGATGGCCACTGCTCTCCTGGCAGAGGCCTGGGACCGTCCTACAGCAGCAGGCAGGCTCTCAGGGAGATCCCTAGGGAAGGAGCCTGCTCACCCCGGCCGTCTCCCCCAGCCCAAGCAGTTCCGGAAGATGATCCAGCAGACATTCCAGCAGTACGCCTCGCTCAGGGAGGAGGAGTGCGTCATGAAGTTCTTCAACACCCTGGCCGGCTTTGCCCACATCGACCAGGAGACCTATCGCTGTGAACTCATTGTAAGTCTCTCCTCCACCTGTGTTCCATGGCCTCTCGGGAAAAGGGAGCCAGGAGGTGGTCAAGGGGGGGCTGGGAAGGGGCTTTGCTTGCTTGTACTGACCTGCCCTAAAATGCAACTACCGTTAATCTACTCACATCAGGAAAGAAAGGGAAATCTTGGCTCCCGCTCTGGGAGGTGGGCAGGGTGTGGGGAGGAGAATAATCTTTATGGGGAGGTGGGGGGTTTAGAGTGGAGGGCCCTGGAGGTAGTAGTCTGAGTCCAGTGTAGTGGGCCTCTTCAAATTTCTGAAATAGGAGCCGGGCAGGGCTCCAGCAGCAATCCCCTCTCTCCTTCTATTCCAGCAAGGATGGAACATCACCGTGGACCTGGTCATCGGCCCCAAAGGCATCCGCCAGATGACAAGTCAAGACGCAAAGGTAGAGAGAGACTGGGAGCACACCCCACCCAGCCCCAGGCTGTGCTGTCTCCCACCCTGGCCTGCCCCGTCTGTTCTTCCTGCCCCACTGCCGAGAGCAGAGGTCCCTGGTATGAGCAGCGGGAGGGGAGTGTTTGGCATAACAGCATGGGGCTGTTGGTTCCTTTGCCCCCTGATTGTCTCCTACATAGAAGCTGGGAGAGCAGGAAGGCTTGGGGGTGCAGGGCAGAGGGAAGGACACTATGGCTGCTTTTCTGGTTCAGATACAAGCATTGTTCTTTCAATGGCAAGATGGGGCCATCACTCGCTTGGGAGTCAGAAGACCTGGGTCCAGTCCTGGCTCTACCACCAACTTGGCATATGGCCGTGGGCAAAGCCTGGCTCTCTCCAGACCATGTTCTTGTCTGCAAACCATGGGGCTCAGACTAGAGGATCCTTCTCGTCTTAATAGTCTTTGATTCTCTCTTTGTCCTCCTGAGATACTCCCAGCTCCCACTTTTCCTTGTGTACCCCCTTTCCCCCATACTGAGCAATTTCCATGGCCTGATCTCAGGAGTGAGAGGATCTGAAGCCCACCCCCATCCTTCCCCACAGCCCACCTGCCTCGCGGAGTTCAAGCAGATCCAGTCCATCAGGTGCCTCCTGCTGGAGGAGGGCCAGGCAGTGCTGCAGTTGGACATCGAAGGCGCCCCTCAGGTGAGCATCTCTGCGAACCCGGAAGCTCTGGAATGAGGGGGTTACAACTTCGAGTTGGGTGTTCCTGTTCAGATGCTCAGAAAACCAGGAATTCTCTGGCTCCTGAGATCTTGTTGAGAAAACTGTTCCTAGTTCTTGGACAAGGTACCAGGATGATGACACATGAGAAGGAAGCTATCTCAGGAAACAAAGCTGTTTGAAAGAGTGTCAAGATAAAGCTGTTTGGGGGGGGGGGAGGGGATGAGGGGGTGTAAAGGTGACCAGAAATCAAGGTACTGATTAGAGGCCTAATGTTGAACAAGTGAACAAGGATGCAGGATCAAGACCTCAAGGACACCCAGGGTTTTTGTAGGTGGGAGAACCAGAGAGATTTCGGACTGAAAACAGATTTATATCTCTCCTCTCATTCATCTATCCCCTGCCCCACTCCCCCCACCCTTCTCCTTTCTGTTTCTGCTCTTGCATATTTTGTACCTACCAGGTACAAGGCATTGTGAGACCAAAATAAGGCAGACCTGGAACTGGCCTTCCTAGAATTTAAGGCAATTCAGTTGGGAGGGATGACAAGAGCGCCCTCTGGTGGCCATAGGGATTGCAAGTCAAGCCCCAGGAGAGGCACAGATGGGTTCCTGCTGGGGATGGATGGATGGATGGCAGGAGTATGCAGTTTCTTCTCTTTTCCTGTGAGGTGGACTCCAGCCAAGGCTCTGGGGTCTCATGCTTAGCTGGTCTCTTCTCTGCAGTCCTTGTCCATCAAAACCTCCTCTCTGGCAGAAGCCGAGAACATGGCTGACCTCATAGATGGTTACTGCCGGCTGCAGGGGGAGCACAAAGCCTCTCTCATCGTTCATCCCAGGAAAGGTGCGTTTCCACTCACTCATAGGCACACTAGCCCAGAGGGCAGATGACCGCACAGCTGAGCCAGGCTGCCTCTCCCCAAGCCCCCCCCACTCCCGCCCCCTCTACCCCCCCCCCCCCCCCCCGCAAGGGAAGCTAAGCCATTGACCAATCTGTGACTGAAGTGGCTTGGATAGTGTGTGGCTGTGCTCGCCTAGCCCCACGGGACATTGCCTGCGGTCCCATTCTGGGTCCCAAGCTACAGACCCTGGCCCATGGGACAGTGGCGGCCTGAAGGCCAGCTTCTGGGGGCGGGGAAGGCGTTGGTAGCCCCAGGAAGATCACGGCTGTTGCTAGAACCTGACTGATCCCTCTTGTGTCTCTGCTTTGGAATGGGATCAGGAAGCAGGGGTCTGGGCTGGGCCTTGTGGATGGTAGGAGGAGGAAATCAAATAATGTCACCAAGAGGATTTCAGTTCAGGCCAAAGGCTACCCATCTTCCACTCAGACTCTCAGAGAGGGCAGAATGGCGGGGAAGGTCTCCCTCGCGTGGGCTCACGGGAGCAGTGAGGTCAGCCGTCCACCCAGGACCCTGTGTCCCTGGCTCCAGCTCCTTTTCTTCCTTCCCTCTTCCCAGATGGTGAGAAGCGGACCAGCCTGCCCCAGATCCCCGAGCTGTGAGTACAAGCAGATGGCAGGGAACAGGCCCTGCACTCAGCCTGCCTCCCCGGAGAAGGCAGAACAGCCCGTGGTGTCAGAACAGCCTGAGGCTCTGGGCATTTCATAGAGGAGATTTTTTTTTTTTTCTTGTCAATAAATTTCTCCCAGTAAATTCTTGTAGGGCTATTTCTACATTCTAATGCCACCTGGCATCTCATCCTAGGGGCTATTGCTGCTGTCCCTTCCCTCCTGCCCCCTGGCAGCCTGGGCCACGCTCCCAGGTTATTGCTGCCAGGACAGGCTGGTTCTCCGGGCAGGCAGTGGGCACAGCGCAGCGGGCCCTCCAGGCGGAAGGTGGGAGAGGGTGGGCCACCGAGGGGACCACTGCCAGGCTCTGAGCTCACTTGGCTCCTGCCCTCTCCTCTCCTCCTACAGGAGCCTGGAGGCGCAACGACACCGCCTCTCGGAAAGCTGCAGCATAGGTGAGCTGTCATTCCTGCGCCCAGAGCCTCTCTCTGCCTGCTTTCGTGACATTGTCAAGGATCCCCTCAAACTGACAGAAAAGTGAACTTCCCCTATGAGGTCTTAAAGCATCATCAATCACACTAGCCAACATGTTTTGAAGAGGTAGCATGTGGCACCATGTCTGTCCGGGCCAGCTCAGGCTGCTCTAACAGAACACGACGGGCCGGGGGTGCTTAATCGACAGACATGTATTTCTCGCAGTCCCGGAGGCGGAAGTCCATGGTCACGGTGCCGGCAGGGTCAGGCCCCGTGAGCACTCCCTTCCTGGTTTGCAGACAGCCGCCTTCCCTCTGTGTCCTCAGATGGAGGAGAGATGGAGAGATCGGGTCTCTTCCTCTTCTCATCAGGGCTCTGTTCCCATCCTCGGACTCCACCCTCATGACCTCATCTAACCTGAATCACCCAAAGGCCCCCCCTTCCCAATACCATCCCACCGGGGGGGGGGGGGGGGGGTCAGGGCTTCAACCTGCGAGGTTGGGGGAAGATGGTCACAAACAGCCCATCCAAAACAGTGTTAAATACAGAGCAGGTGTCCTTTCATTTGATCTTTAGGACATTCCCCAGAAAGATTCCGTTTACAGGAAAGGAAACCGAGATTAAGGGAGGCTAACCGACTTGGACTGAATAATACACCGGGGCAGTAGCAAGCGGGGACTCTAACCCTGCCACCAGAGCCTGGTCCTCCCCTGGCTCCTCCCCTCGCCCCTCCCACCGGCAGCACCTTTGGTTCCCGTGGCCTGACGTGGGAGCCACACACCTGGTTCTGGTGGTGCCCTCAGAGGGCATCTTGCCCACGGGGTGTTCTTTTCCTGTCCTCGCAGAATCAGACATTTACGCCGAGATTCCTGACGAGACTTTGCGAAGGTCAGGAGGTAGGTCCTTGACCCCAACAGCCACGGCCCTGTGAAGTGACATTATGGGGATGGGGACACATGTGACACCATAGGGGGACTTAACTCTCTCTTCCTTCCTTCCTTCCTTCCTTCCTTCCTTCCTTCCTTCCTTCCTTCCTTCCTTCCTTCCTTCTTTCCTCCCTCCCTCCCTCCCTCCCTCCCTCCCTCCCTCCCCCCTCCCTCCCTCCCTCCCTCCCTCCCTCCCTCCCTCCCTCCCTCCCTCCCTTCCTTCCTTCCTTCCTTCCTTCCTTCCTTCCTTCCTTCCTTCCTTCCTTCTTTCCTCCCTCCCTCCCTCCCTCCCTCCCTCCCTCCCTCCCTCCCTCCCTCCCTTCCTCCTTCTTTCCTCCTCTCCCATGTGTGATTCAGACAGGAACAACCTGAGTGAGGCCCCTTTGATTTAAAAACCAAGATCATTCTTTTATCAACACACTATTGCCCTTCATGTGCCTGTGGAGAGCCTCAGGGCGTGGACATGGGACCAGCTTTCAGAGGGAATAGGGCCATGGCTCTTCCCCGGGTCTGAGACAATCCATCGGACTAGAGCCCCTTGCCCAGCCCAGCCCCTGGTTCTTGGCTGAGGTGTTGCCGGGGGTCTGGTTACACCTGAGCAGGGCCTGGCATTGCAGCCTGTGGACACTCAGGTTCCCGGTGTCGGTGGTTTCTGAATTCTGGGCCCCTGCTTTCTCCACCTGTGCAGGCCCACAGTATGGCATTGCCCGGGAAGATGTGGTTCTGAACCGTATCCTGGGGGAAGGCTTTTTCGGGGAGGTCTACGAAGGTGCCTACACGAATCACGTGAGTTCTGATTCATCCCTGACACTCCCCTTCCACGTTCTGTAGGATAAGGAGGAGGGCGAATTGTCCGGGGCTGGAGGCAGCGGTCACGATGTGTGGGTCCTCACGCACTTGGCATTTGCAGTATTCATGAAATACCCAGGGAGTGAGGGAAGTCATTGCCAAGCAGGAGAGCGATGCCAGGGATCAAAATAGAGGCGGCACGAGGAGAGGGGCCTCTGGCTCTGGGTGGGGGAAGACAAAGCCCAGAGGCATGATGACATGCAGTTCTGAGAGAAAGAAGGCGGATCTGAGGCAGGAGTCGGTGGGGAGGCCACTGACGGGCAAGGCACGGTTGGTGGTTGCGTTTAGGCCTGGGGAAAAGGCAGAGCTGAGGGCAAGGGGCAGGAAAAATGTAAAAACTAGCAAAAAAGAGAGAAGGAGACCTGGATGCCATGTGTGATGATGGCCTTACAGGTGCTCCACACATGCCTGCCAACCTCGGGCAGATCCCTGCCCCCTTGGCCTCAGTTTCCTCATCTGCACAGCCAGGGACTTGAGCTACCTGATCTCGAAAGACCTCTCCAGTCCCAACACATCCTAGTCAAGAAGGAAGAGAGGAGGGAGGAGAGGACGGGCAGAGAAGAGAGAAGGGGCGAGAAGAGGAAGAAGGGAGGAGAATGGGCTATGCAGAGACCCAGAGGCCAGACATCCCCTGCCATCCCTTGGCTGGGAAGATGATGGTGACACCGGGAAGGGACACATCCCTTTTGGGGCACTCGGGCCCTGAGCTCACTCTCTCTGCAGAAAGGGGAGAAAATCAATGTCGCCGTGAAGACCTGCAAGAAGGACTGCACGCAGGACAACAAGGAGAAGTTCATGAGTGAGGCAGGTAGGAGGAGGAACACAACCCCCATGGGCTGGAGAAGACCACGAGGTGACACAGACCTCCAAGACGAAGAGGGGCCTGGAATTGGGGGAGGGGGTGGTGTGAGCAGTGCTGGGATCCACACGGAAGGAGGGCTGTCCCTCCCCGTCTCTCTCAGCCGGACAGAAAGCATGGCTCTCCCACCGGGCCTTAGATCCCTCCGGCCCACCCTTCTCCCCCCGATTGCAGTGATCATGAAGAACCTGGACCACCCGCACATTGTGAAGCTGATAGGCATCATCGAAGAGGAGCCCACCTGGATCGTCATGGAATTGTACCCCCACGGGGAGGTGAGCTGCAGGTGGCTGTGGTAGAGGGGGCTGTGATGATGGCTGTGCCACAGCTGGGCAGGGTAGCCTGTGTTTAGGAGGGGCCCTTGACTCCTAGCTGCCTGCCTTCTGTGTTCAGTTGAAACAACCCAGGGACTCTTTGTGAAAGAGATTCCTGGACCCTCTTGCCAGCCCGGGTTCGCCCTCCCCTCGCCTGCCCTCCCCTTGCCCCCACCCCTGCCTGCGGTGGGGCTCCCTGGCTCATGCCCAGGTCTTGATGGCACCTTCCTCCTTCCGACAGCTGGGCCACTACCTGGAGCGAAACAAGAGCTCCCTGAAGGTGCTCACTCTCGTCCTGTACTCGCTGCAGATTTGCAAGGCCATGGCCTACCTGGAGAGCATCAACTGTGTCCACAGGTGCGGCTGGGAGGAAGCCGGGCCCCTCGATCTGATCCTGAGTTTGGGGTAAAGCAGGGTCTGGGTGTCACACAGACCAGGGCGGAAACCCCAGCTCCGGTCCCGTCTAATGGGACAACTCTGAGCACCTGCTGTGAATCTGTTTTCTCATCTGAGAAGTGGAAACGGGCATGTGTACCTCACAGGGTGTTCTTCAGGGTGAACCTGAGCCCTGGGTGTCTGATTGTAACTCAGTGCATTCAGCCTGCTTCCCTGTGGGTTCCGGGAAATCGCTTCCTGCTTGTTCTCCTCCCTCGGGCCCGTTCGGTGGCAGAACTCTGTCAGGAAGCAGTGAGCTAGGGCAGCGCTGGGAAGATCCTGGGGTCGGGGCCCTACCAGCCAGGGTGGCTGATGCTGCCTGGCACGTCCAGGCCTCTCTCTGTCTGTGAAGCTGGCCCTTCTCCCCCTGACTCCCTGAAAGGAGGTCCCTACCACCTTTCCTGATCCCCTCGAGGAAGCAGAAGGGGTGCTCCCAGAGCACAGGGTGTACGGGTGAGTTCTCCCATCCAGCACCCCCGATGTCAGCGATGTGGCCTTAGGAGGGATACCAGGCAAAGCAATGCTGGGGGATATACACATCCACTCATCCAGTCATTCAGCAAATATTGTGGAAGTCTCACCCTGTGCTTCCAGGTGCTGTCCTGGGCCCTGGGATAAAATCATAATCGAAACAGCCTGGCTGGGGTGGCTCAGTGGTTGAGTGTTGACCCATGAACCCGGAGGTCACGGTTCAATTCTCAGTCAGCACACATGCCCGGGTTGCCAGCACCATCCCCAGGGTGGAGTGTGCAGAAGGCAGCCAATCAATGATTCTCTTTCATCATTGATGTTTCTCCTTCTCTCCTGCTTTCCTCTCTGAAATCAATAAAAATAAAAATAAAATTTAAAAAAAACCCACAAAAATCCCTTTCTTGTGGAGCTTACCTCCCAGCATGAGGGTAAAACATGATTCAGGGTGAAGATGGAGGGAGAACAGATTTGTTCTCTGTGTGGCACCTTTTCAGTAACAGAGACCAATGGCAGGCAGAGAGCCTGCCTGTGAGAAGCAAGCAGACAGGCCAGTCTGGGGTTCGAAGCGATGCAGGGAGGTGAGAGCCCCGCTCTGGAGTGAGGCTGACTCCTTTCCTACCGGTCACCTGCCGGGCAGTTCCTCCCGCTCTCTGTGCCGAGCCGGGGGCTCCGAGGGTCTCTACCCCGCGGCTCCGTGCATCCGGCCCCGGCTGTCCTGGCTCTCCCAGCTCTGAGGAAGTTAGTCACGAGCGGCTGCTGCTCAGAGCCACAGCAGAAGCCCACACAGTCCTGCAGCTTGCAGACGGAGGAGAGCACCACTGCGGCCGGGAAAGTTGTCGGGGCTCCTTCTTGGAGAATCAGCGGGTGACAGCGTCCCTGGCAGAGGGGACAATAGAGTCACCAGGGCAGGAGAACATAGGGAGCAAGTCCTGGGAACCTGAAACAGGCTTCATGTGAGAGAGGACGATGGGAGTTGAAGCTGGACGGTGAGAGGAAAGGGGTGGCCGAGGGCCTGGTGTGTGACGGGGGCTGGAAGGCCACCCTAGCTCCCACCTGGGCTGGGCTGACGACACAAGCTGCCCGACTGTGCTCCCTGGACCAGCACTCTCCTTTGTGTCTCTGTTCATCTGTGTCTGTCTGTGTGTCTGTCTGTCTGGGGCATTCTGAACCACCTCGTTTTCATATCCTTCTTCCAGGGACATCGCCGTCCGGAACATCCTGGTGGCCTCCGCGGAGTGTGTGAAGCTGGGGGACTTCGGCCTGTCGCGGTACATCGAGGAAGAGGATTACTACAAAGGTGAGGGCGGCCGCCCCGGCTGTGCCTGAGGGTTTGCTGAAGCCCCAGCCCCAGCAAACACGGCGATGGTCCGGGGTCGGTAGGTCCTTGGGTCTCCAGAGAATAGGCTATCTTTTTGGATAATTCTGGATCGTTCTTCCTTAACTGTCTCCTGAAACCTCGACCCCACCCCCAGCCTCTGTGACGCGGCTGCCCATCAAGTGGATGTCGCCCGAGTCCATTAACTTCCGCCGCTTCACCACGGCCAGTGACGTGTGGATGTTTGGTGAGTGGAGTTTCGGGAGGGTGTGGAAAGGGTTTTGAGTCTCACCTCGGTGACCAGGCTAAGAGGTGGTGCGGAGAGCAGGGGCTGGGCCCCCACGGCTGGGCTGCAGGGTTGTTTGGCTGCAGCCACTGGGACGTGTGAGAAATGAGAGGCCAGGGGTGGGTTGGGGTGATATGGGCGGAGGGCTGGCCCCGGGCAGTGTTGGCTAATCTTCCTGGAGGAGGTTCCCAGGGACTAGTGTGGGGACACCAGGGGGGAATCCTCAAAGGCAACTCTGAGGTTTGTTCTGAGAAGGAGGTACGGGGAGAGGCGAGGAAAAAACCGGTGACAGACAACCCCTTGCAGAGCACAGGGCCTCGTAGGTGACCCCTCTTGGTTCCCCGCAATCTCATTCTTCTTCCCAGTTTCCGCAGAAGGTGGCTGAGGCCCGGGCAGGCCAGGGCCTTCCCCTCGATCACATAGGCAGCAAGTTTTGGCTTCAACCCCCAGCTCTGTGGTGGAGGCTTCACTCCTTCCCGAGAGAAGGCACCAGTGGTCCCACAACCTGCCTTGGGCTGCCCCACCCTACCCCACAGAACCCCAATAGCTGCATGTGGAGGGGACAGAGAAGAGAGACCTTAGTTCACTTACAGATGCAGGTGGCTGGTCCCTTGGTGACCACCATGGTGAATAAAACTCCGGGGATGCTCAAGGGGGAGGTGAGGGATCATGGGAGCCCCTCCCCGCAGGGACCCAGGGCAGATTCCTCTGGTCATTCCTAGAGGGGCTGGACTGACCTCACCCCACATGGGCCCTGACCCCTGTCCTCCTGCCCATAGCTGTGTGCATGTGGGAGATCCTGAGCTTTGGCAAGCAGCCCTTCTTCTGGCTGGAGAACAAGGATGTCATCGGGGTCCTGGAGAAGGGCGACCGGCTGCCCAAGCCCGACCTCTGCCCTCCTGTTCTCTACACCCTCATGACCCGCTGCTGGGACTATGACCCCAGCGAGCGGCCCCGCTTCAACGAGCTGGTGTGCAGCCTCAGGTGAGCCTGGAGCCGGGGTGGGGGCTGTGGGCACGGGGCCCCAAGGGGGCCCGGTTTCCCTGCAGCAGCACTTAGAGGTTTATAATGTGCTTCCCTAAACAGGAAGCGTCCTTGGTCCCACCCTGTGCATGAGAGGATCAGGTTCAGAGCTGGGGACTCTTCCAAGGCAGGGACTTGCTCTGAGGCCTCCCCTCTGGCAGAGCCACCCAGCAGAAGCTCAGAACCTTTGTTCCTCCCAGATTTGCAGGGAAGAGAGTCAGTGTGTGTGTGTGTGTGTGTGTGTGTGTGTGTGTCTGTGTGAAATATGTTTTTATTGATTTTTCAGAGAGAGAGGAAGGGAGAGGGATAGAGAGATGGAAACATCAATGAGAAACATCGATCAGCTGCCTCCTGCACGCCCCCTCCTGAGGATTGAGCCCACAGCCCAGGCTTGTGCTCTGCCTGGGAACTGAACTAGAGACCTCTTGGTTCAAGGATTGATGCTCAACCACTGAGCCACACTGGCCAGGCAAGAGAGTCAGTTTTGACTGTGAAGACAGTGATTCAGGGGTCACCTCTCCCTTCTGAATGGAGCAACAGTGGCCTAAGGGACTGATCCTTCTCAGATGTCCCAAAGCCATCATTCCCCTGGTTCTGGGGGGGAAGGGGTGTCCCTGGTGAAGGGTGCTACTGGAGTCCATTTTAGAAGGTCCCCTGTTTCCTTCGTGGCCGGCCTGGCCTCCTCCTCCTCGGGGGATCTGACTTTGGGCATCTTTCAAGGCAGACTTTCCCTGTAAAGGGCCGGATAGTTAATATTGTGGGCTTTATAGGCCGTGCTGTCTCTGCTAGGAATGCTCAGCTCTGCCCTCCAGCTTAAAGCACCCATGGGCAGTATGGAATGAATGCGTGTAGCTGGGTTTCAATGGGACTTTATGTGTGGATGCTGACATGTGACTTTCATATAATTTTCCGGTGACATGAAATATTTTTTTCTCTTTCCAATCATTAAAACACTTATAAACCATTCTTCGTTTGGGGCCGCACGAAAATAGGCAGTGGCCAGACTGGCTCACAGGTGGTGTCTGCTGACTCCTGACTTAGGGAATCTAGTGCTTAGTTTCCCTAAGTGCTCTGTGAGACCAGAAATCCTATTGTTAAGATGCTGGCTTATTTTTAGGGCAAGCATGGCCCCTGGAAACTCCCTTTGGGACGCTGGGAAGGCCAGGCTGGGGCACTGGGAATAACACTTTGTAGGGGCCGGGGCGGCAACCAATAAGCAAGACCCCAGTTTAAAAGGCCTTTCAGATCCTACCTGCCCCTTACTTGACTCTCCTCATTAATTCTAGGCTTGTCTCTTGGCCCCTGATAAGAGAGTCTTGGGAAACCAAAGGATTCCAGGAGAAAAGTATTTGAAAGATGTAACTTGAGAAAGCAGACGCGCTGGGGTGATGAGTTGGTGGGGGGCTCTTAATTCATTCTGGGGCTTGCAAACCAGGGGGAGCTGTGACGGGGTGCCTTTCCCTGGGCCCAGAAGCACACCTCTCAGAGCACTGGGCCAGCCCCCCATCCTGGATGAAGCGAGGAGATGACTTTTCCAGAGTGGTCTGAAGGATACCCAAAGACTCCAATGACCCCAGGATACCTCCCCCAAGCCCCAGCCTGGCAGCCCGCCATTAGGGTTAAGAAAGGATTAATAAATGTTTCCCAATCTTCTGGGGCAAGAAGGACCCTTTTGATATCAAACTTTGAGAATTCATCCCTATAATGTTAGTTATACTTCCGACTGTTAAAACAACTTGTTGGTAGACAAAATGCAGCAAACTGTATGATCAATTTCTTATTACACACAACATGACACATATAAATCTGAAAACACAATGTCAACTATTGTCTGGTCAGTAGTACTGTTAAAATGATTTAAAAAGACAATTGAGGTGACACATTTAATACTCCATAAAGCAGGCAATCTCCATTCCCAAGGGTCAGAGAATTGCGAGGTGGGGCAGAAAATAGGAAATTTAACAGGATAAGGATAAGGAATAGGAGCAAAGAAGAGAAAAGCAGAAAATGAATAGGGAACAAGGGAGGAAGTATAGAGCCCCAAGCTGTCTCAGTGTGTGGGGATCGGCTGACTACATATACTGCATTTCTGGTCTCACAGAGCACATAGAGGGCCACAAAAGCTATCTGAGTTGTGCTTTGCTGGGGTGGCACCCCAGAGTGACTCCATCTCGGGCCTAGACATTTACTACAATCATACGTAATACCTGGTCTGCAGACAATGTGTGTGAGGTACACATGTGAGCATGTGAATTCATGGACCCTTAGAACTATTTCAGAACCCTCTCGGGTCTGTGATTCCCAGGTTGGAAACGCCTGGATGGGGTGAGAAAGGCAAGAAGCATGCATATAGCCGAGATGGGAGAGATCCACAGCCCTTTCCCATCAGCACACAGCAGGAACGCGCTGATGGAAAGTTTCATGGGAAAAGGGAGATGTAGAACCCAGGCCTTGGTCCTGACATTGGCTGGGACATCAGAAACCCACGTAGGGGATCAGTGCCCGAGCAGGCACGGGAGGGCAAGAGGCCCGGGAGGTGGGCTGGAGATACACTTCCACTGTCCCATTGGGCTGGGACTGTGTCTCCAAGGACTTTTCCCCACCTCGATCTGTCCCTGTAATCCTCCCAGCCTCAGTGTGGAAGCAAGCCCAGGATCCACATTCCAGCCTGTCTCGCAGGGGCCTCCCCAGCCCACGCTGCAGAGGAGTTGGAGATGGGACTTGGTGGTCATCCTCTGGGCCCTCCAGGCTTTGGTGGGGTGCACAGAGGAGCCCCGGGAGCACCTTTGACCTTGTTTCTCTCTCCTGTCTGACCTGACCCCTTGGCAGTGACGTGTATCAGATGGAGAAGGACCTTGCTATAGAGCAGGAGAGGAACGCTCGCTACCGACCTCCCAAAATCTTGGAGCCCCTAGTTCAAGAACCCCCGCCCAAGGTAAGCCAAGGCCTGGTCTCCTCGGGCCCCTGATTCACAGCAGAGTTGGGTCCTCATCTGGCCACTCCTGGCCTGACCCTATTACTCCTCTCTCACAGCACAGAGAGTATGTGCCCCTGCAATTCTCCCAGCCACTCAACCCAACCATCCCTCAGCACTGAACACAGCCCCTGCCCCATCGGCGCCCTGGCAGGTGGGATCTGAGATAGCAAGTTAGCCAAGCCTGTGGGCAACTGGGGCAGGGAGTCACCGGAAACTCTTCCCTTGAGAGCTCGAGCACTTTTATTTCTGGCATTTTTTTTAGGGACAAGTTAGATCCCCACCATGAGGGCACATGGATGAGGCGTGTCCCTGGACTCCTTAGGTACAGCCTTCATGACCATACCCTCCATGACATCCGTGCCCTGCGCCACACCCTTAGGTGAAGGACGGTGCCTGTATTAAGCCTCTCAGGCTGCCGTAACAGAACTCCATAGGCCATTGGGCTGGGACTGTGTCTCCAAAGACTTTTCCCCACCTCGATCTGTCCCTGTAAGGCTTAGACAACAGGCTTTTGTGGGGGCTGGGAAGTCCAAGATCCAGGTGCTGGCAGATCCGGTGTCTGTTGAGGATTCTTCCTGACTCGCAGACAGCCGGCTTCCCGCTGTGTCCTCACAGGGCAGACAGAGAGCTCTGGTATCTCTTCGTAGTAGTATAAGGACACGAATCCCACCCCAGGGCCCTACTTCATGACCTCATCTAACCCTTACTTCCCCAACGCCCTGTCTTCAAGTGCTATCACACTGGGGGTGGGGTGCGGGAAGGGCTGCAACATAGGGATTTGGTGGGGACACCGATGTCAGTCCATAGCAGAGCCCTTTGCCTGGAGTGCCTTTCCCCTTCCCTGAGTCAGGGCTCAGCTCAGTTTCTATCTCCTCCAAGAAGCCGCTGTGAGTGCCTGAGCCCCCCGTGGCCTCCTACTCTGATGTCTGTGGCTCCCCACTGCTGGTGGGGAGGTGCTCCCACATCCAGAGAAGCTACATGCACAGAGATCAGTAACCCCTCCAGTTAGCGATGGTCCCCCTCTGTCCCTGCCCATCACCCAGCAGGCAATGGGCGCTCCATAAGTGAGAACTCTATCCCTCAGCCTTTTTATTCTGAACAAGCCCGCCCTGTCTCTGACCGATGCTCACCTCAGTGAGAGATGGGGACTGACCTTTCTCCGCGTTCTCTCTCCAGCCCAGCCGGCCCAAGTACAGACCCCCTCCACAGACCAACCTGCTGGTGCCCAACCTGCAATTCCAGGTAAACATGACCAGAGGGCCAGGAAAGCTCGGGCCATGCCTGGTCTCGGTTTTTCCTGAAAGTCTGTTCTCATGCTTTTGAGGAGCAGTAACCAACTGCTCAGGAATGTAGAAGACCAGCTTCGGTACCAGAAAAGAATAGCACTCAGAGATCAAAGGAACCAAAAATGCAGTTCCTCCAGGCTGTCCTCGGCTAAGACGTGCCTGAAGCCCAGGGCACCTGGCTACAGTGTTTGCTGCTGCTGCTGCTGCGTGTCCTGCCTCCAGCTACTCTCCTGCCCTCCTACCCTGAGCAGAGCCTTCTGAGAAGGAGTCTCAGGCAGTTGGGGACCGTTGATGTTCCCCTAAAAACTGGATTGCTCCCTGGGGCTCCCCACAGAGGTCCTGGCCAGAACCAAGGTGGCCATTGAAGAGAGAGAAGGCTCCTTCTCTGCTTCCCTCCCACGTGTGTCGTTACCAACCATGGAAGCTTCCCAGGCTGCAGGTCCCGTCTCAGTGTCTCCGTCCTCTCTCTCTCTCTCTCTCTCTCTCTCTCTCTCTCTCTCTCTCTCTCTCTCTCTCTCTGGCATCTCGGTCACAGGAGCTGGGGCTCCTCTCTTTTCTTCTCTCACATCCCTCAGCTCAGAGTCCCTGCCTCGTGCCAGAGCAAGCCCAACCGAGAGCCAACAAATCCTGTTCATTTAAGAAAAATCTGGACGCAAAAGATAGAGGCAATGTCGCTAAAAAGAAAAGTTACCTGTTGTGGTGTTTAAAGTAGTGACTAAATACACATCCGTGGGCTGATTCTGTCTGTCAGTGTGTAACATGACTCTGAAATATAACCTTCTCTCAGGAGCCCTGAAGGAGGAGACACGTACTCCGCCGGTTGGTAGCACGCGTGGGCCCATCGCGTTCAGAGCCGGACGGGAGGGCTGTGAGATGAACGGGAGGTCGCAGCGCCCGTGCTGACTCCTAGCCAAGAGCTATGTCTGTTGCTCTGCTGTGTCTTCCACACGGGGCCGAGGACTCGTCCATGTCACATTTTTTTATTAGGTCCCGGAGAGCAGGCCCTGGTGCTCATGCATCGTTTCTTTGTGCTGAGTGTGTAGCCGCCAATTGTCTACCTTCGTGCCTTGTCCTTGTGCCTGTGCTTCTCTGCTTCTCCTGAATAGGTCCCCGAGGGTCTGTGTGCCAGCTCGCCTACGCTCACCAGCCCCATGGAGTACCCATCTCCCGTAAACTCGCTGCACACCCCGCCTCTCCACCGGCACAATGTCTTCAAGCGCCACAGCATGCGGGTAAGAGGGCTCTGCATGCTGGGTCCCCGCCCGGACGGAGGAGGCTGATGGAGGGGAGGTGCCTGGGACAACGGGAGCCCCACAACCTCAGCTCAGGAGGTGCCCTCTTGCTTCCATGCTCCGGTCAGGCCACCGAAGGAGGGGCTCGGTGACTCTCTGTCTCCTTTGTAAACACATCGGGGGCCGGGGGCCAGGCCAGGCTCTGCCCCCGAGGACACCCGCTGGACCTGGACCTGCCCCATCCATACTCTGGGGCTGGGGCAAATGATGCAGAAGCTCCCCCTCTCCTGAGCCCTGGGTGGAGTGAGGAGTCTTGTGGGTGGAGGACAACCAAGCCCATTGGCACCAGAGAATGAAAGATCCTGGGGGTTCTGTTCTGCTCTGCCCTTCCTGCCTGGTGCCCTTGGTTGTCAGTCTCTCTTCAGGCAAAGGAAAGGCTTCCTTGTGGCTTCCGTTCCTGCTGCTTTTGCAAACGTTGCTGGTGTTTGGGAAGGAGCTTGGGGGCTGGTGAGGGGCTATGACCCCCGCTCCAGTCACTTCTTTGCTGTAACTGCCAAGATGGGGCCCTGAGTACTTCATGGGTTAGCACCTGGAGGTCAAGGTTTGCCCAAAATAAGTAAATAAGGGCACCATGGCTTGCCCACTTGTCACTCATCACCACCCATTGCTCCGTCAATACGGATGCCCCTGTGGCTTCCATACACATTTAACATTGCTTACCAAACCGGGTCCTGCTCTGTGACCAAACAGACCGAAGCCATTATTATTTTAGCTCTAACTCTGGTTCTATAGGCGTGACATTTCACATTCCATGTACGTGACTCTATAATTTTATTTTATTATTATTTTTTTTTAGAAAAAATGACATGATTGTTCCCATTGATTTAGAAAATGTAGAGAAGTACATATGTCAATATATTCAGTGCTGTTATTTTTACTTGGGTAAAAATTTTCATATGAGTAATATAACTCAGAACGCTAGGCATCAAGATCTATTATGGACTACATTTCCCCGTTTATAATTTAAACAATTTATATCTTGGCACACACTTAACGGTAATAAAACTGCATTCTGAAGTGCGCTATGCAATTTAAGCCATGTTCAGTTCCTCCACCCTCCCGCCCTGGACTCTTTATTCGTAATTAATTGAGTTTTAGTGAGTTCTGCTTTACAATGTGACCTTTTTAGAAAGAAGCTGTTCTGCATGCGTGCGGGGCGGCATTGCCTTTGTCTAAGCTGCTTCCCCAGGAGGGTTTTGTTCACTTTCTTAAAGACAAGCTGTGCAGTAGGGAAAAAAGACCTTTTGTGTCAGGGGTTTAGAAAGACTCTCCATAAGGAAAGTCTGCCTAAAAGAACATAATGAACATCTCTTAAAATAAACGAAAAGAGGTTAAAAATATGAACTCCATTTTATGAGTTACATCGGAAACGTGGGTAAAGCCCCATCCAGGTGGATTGCTGAAAAGGTATAATTGGCTCCCTGCAAAGCATTTGAAAGCATTTAACAAAAATCAGAGATGGTTTTCACATTAAAAAAAATTTTTTTTTCTACGATTGCCTGATTTACCTAGGAATCTGTGGGATGCCACACCAGAATGGGAGCAATCTCTCAACTGAAGTTTAAAATAAAAATAGAAATTCAATAAGCCACACCCTTTGCAGGAATGCTTTGCAGGGAGCTGCCCTAGGTGCTGAAGGGAGACCCAGGCGGCTCTGTCTTCCAGAAGCTGGCAGTTGGCCTGAAGAGACAGGCCAGGTGCACACCTATCTGTCATGCCAGCCAGAAAGCTGTGAGTGGCACACAGGGACACAGCAAAAGGCTCGGTGGGAGTTCAGAGAGGAGAACTCTCTGAAGCTTCTCTGTGTTACTGGCCCTGGAAGGATGGGTAAGATTTGGACAGGAAGAAACCGGGATGAGGGGGAATGAAAGAGGCCGAGGTATTAGTAGGAGCCAAGATTGAGTGATGGGAAACCATAGGGGAAGTACAGGAGCTGTACTAGAGGCTAGAATAGAGGAAGAATGCATGCAGGGGTAGAAATAAGGGTGGGAGTGGCCAAATTCTGGGATGTTCTCAGCTTGTGGAAACATTTTAAAACACCACCAGGACCTGATTCCTTTTAAACAATGTAAGTATTTAGTGCCTGAAAAGAATATCTGAGGTACGTTTCAGACAAGTAAGCCCTAAAGAGATTCAATTTAAAAAAAAAATCTCATTTTCTCCTTGAATTTGATTATGAAATCGTAAGACATAGGAACAGGTCTTGGAATGTATCTTACAATGTTTTGTAAGACACTAACCAGGCCTGGGGCCATTAGAGTGGAAGGTGCTTTCTTTTAGGACTTACAGATTACACGGTGTTTACTTGACTCTGGTAACTCCTCCTACCAGGATTATCTCTAGGGACAAATTAGATCCTCAGTCCTCACATTTTTCTTATGCCTGGGTATTCCTAACTATAGTCAAATGTTTGGTACTTGTCTCTTTGCTTGTCAGTCTTTGTCAGTAGCCTGAGTAACCATACATTGTGTTTGCAGGTGTTAACATTTAACTGGGAATATTTATAACCTTAAAATTCTCTCATTTGGAGTAGCGTCCTCTGAGAAATAAATCTTACATATTTTTAATAATTCTATGATTATAAAATGCTCCTGTGTTCTGAAATTTGCTTTCTTAAAGTCTAAGTCAGTAGCTCTCAAAGGAGGCTGATTTTGCCATGTTTGGTGATGGCTGGAGGCATTTTTGTTACAAACAGGATGTGTGTGTGTGTGTGTGTGTGTGTGTGTGTGTGTGTGTATGTGCACTATAGGGTGGAGTTGTGGCTCGGCAACCTACAATGTATTGGAAGTCCTCCCCCAGCAAAGATCTATCTGGCCCCAAATGTGAGTAGTGCTGAAGGTGGGAAAAATGGTCTAGCTATTGTGTACCATGGCTACCCTCCCAGCCTGCCACATAATAGTTTCTCAATAAATAGTTGTTGAATAGAAAAATGAACAGAGAATAGTTTACCAAGAAGTCAAAGCTGTGGGAAGAAATATTGTTAGAAATTGAGAGCAGTAATTGGAGTCGAATAAGCACGAGGAAAAAATGTTCCAATATAACTAACTGTCTTATGATATTCAAGTGTGTTTTAGAGGGTTCAGTGAGAAAAGTATTTTTAGAGATTCGGCAGAGATTCCTGCTTGCTAAATAGATAGAGAGTGATTTTTAGCATTTTATGCAAGTGACTTGTATGTAAACTGGCCACTTCAAAGGCAAGGAGCCGAGGGGCCTGCTGGCCGGATGTCCTAGGGAGGTCCCGCCCCTGGCAAAGGCCCCCCTGGGCTTGATGCAATCCAGCAAACACAGTAACACTCAGGGAGCCAGGGGCAAGGTGTGCAGTGGAAAACAAGTGGCACCACAATACTTAGAAGGGGCTGAGCAGAAAGTTACACAAATGAACACTATGGAAGAGTGAGAGTAAAGCAAGTAAAAAGAAAACACACAATACCTTCTTTTTGGGGAAAATAGGTAAAACTATGAATAGGTTCCAAGTCTTCCAAAAGAGTTAAAACAAGGGTTGGATCAATAAAGCTAGGAGATAGGTATTGCACATCTCTACACTTACGTTTCTTTTAAATTTTGTTCTTTGTCTCTTCGCTTATGCATTTCTTTAACCTTTGGTTAAACAATCCAAACTATTATCTCGATAAAAAGTGTGTTTTTAACAAAAAGACTCAATCGATGGTTGTGTGGTCAGGAGCTCCTTTTCTCAGGCCCCCACCCACGGTGGGGCTCAAGGCAGCCCACTGCCCCTGGGAGCTTCCAGACCTGCCCCACGGGTGCTTGGGTAGAGAGAAGTGCCCAGGGCTTTCTAGGGGGCTGGTTTTCACGTCTAAATTTATTAAAGTGACAGCGACCACGAACAATACCAGCTGAGAAGAATAACATGAGGGCAGTAATTGGAAAATAAAATTGTCTTCACCGATCATGTAATCATTTGCACACAAGGCATGTTAACGCGTGTTCTGGGTTTGGCATTCCTCTGCAACACAGGCACGTACCTGGGGCTGACTGTGACCCAATAATAACTGCATAGATGGCTGTGAACTTAAAAGCATCGTTCCAAAAAAAAAAAAAAAAAAAAAGGACAGTGGTGAGGCCAAGTCTTGAGGCTGCACAAGGTTCATCAGAGGACTGTCCCTCCGCTGAGTCTGGGTATCAGGCTCACGGTGTCCTCTCCTCTCCCCCCGCTGTCCTCCCAGGAGGAGGACTTCATCCGACCCAGCAGCCGGGAAGAGGCCCAGCAGCTGTGGGAGGCCGAGAGGGCCAAGATGCGGCAGGTCCTGGACAGGCAGCAGAAGCAGATGGTGGAGGACTACCAGTGGCTGCGGCGGAAGGAGAAGTCCTTGGTGAGCAGCCTCTGGCCGCGGGCGGGGCGGGAGGCATTCTCAGCTGCCGAAGACAGTGTGATAACAGTGTGCTGGGAGTGATGTCCACGCCACCGTGTCCTTTTGTGTCTCCTCTGCCTCCCCAGCTGACCCGTGTGAGGGCTCCCCCTGCATTCCCAGGGCTTCTAGCTCTGGAATGCTCAGTGCTTTGCTTGTTTCCTCCCCTGCAGGACCCCATGGTTCATATGAACGACAAGTCCCCATTGGTAAGTCGCCGGGAGAGGTCTCTGCCTTAGAGAGAAGGCCTGGGAGGTGCTCATGGGCATCGGCACCCCAGCTCCAGGCCCGGGGCCTGCTCATCGCCCCCTTTCTGCCTCTCACCTTGGGAGCGAGTCTTTTCTGCCCGCTGACCTCCCCGAGGACCTTTTCCTGAACTCTCACTTGATCTACATCCACAGTCCCCTCAGCCCCTTGGGAAACTCTTGGTCAGGAGTTCCCCAGAGCCTCCCCCTCCCATGGCCATGATCTCTAAGCCTCTAAATACACTGTTGAGGAGGGTGGGGAACAGGTCAAGGGGGGAAGTGGGTGGTGCCCAGAGCCACGTTAGTGATCGGTTTGCTTTCCTTCCTTCCAGACCCCGGAGAAGGAGGCCGGCTACAGTGAGTATTGGTGTCCTTCCTTCTGGCGGGAGTGCCCACTTGATACCTTGTGCTGAGCCGCCGTCCTTGAGCCACTGCAGTTTTGTTTTTGTTTTTTAAATATATTTTTTTGAGTTTTTACAGAGAGGAAGGGAGAAGGATAGAGAGTTTAGAAACATCGATGAGAGAAAATCATCAATGAGCTGCCTCTTGCACACCCCCCATCGGGGATGTGCCCACAACCAAGGCACATGACCTTGACCTGGGACCCTTCAGTCTGCAGGCCGACGCTCTATCCACTGAGCCAAACTGGCCTTGGCTATACTTGCAGTTTTGAGAAATGTCTGCCTTGTTTTCACTCAGCGTGTCGGAGAGGCTGAGTCCCAGAGCTGACCTCCACCCCCCTCCTCCCCTCATTCCATCTGTCACCCTCTGTCCCCCCTGCCCAGCGGGTCTCTCTCTCTCTGACCCGGGGTCCTTAGTCCTCTTTCCAGTTTATCTCCTTCTCACATGTCTTTGGAGGAGGAGATGGGTCTCTCTTGCCGCCCCTCAGTCGTTCTGTAGGAGGCTCCTCCTGTAGGGAAATAAGGTAGTTCCGCTGGCCTCTCTCCCATGATGCTCATCTTCCCTGAGCCTGAGGGATGAAGGGGAGAATGATGGTGGCCAAGCCCTCGGGTCTCCCCAAAGGCCTCTGCTGGAGTGGGGGCGGGGGAAGGAGACAGCAGCATGACAGGCTCATCTTCATCATCCTCGATGGGTGGGGCTGGTGACGGTGAGGTGACAGTGGCAGTGATGATGGAGACGGCAGTCACAGAGAACGAAACACAGTCCACACACAGACGCAGGGGTAGCTTTCAGAGGTCAGCCTGTTTCCTCTCACGGCAGCGCTGAGATACAGGTTATCATCACGCCCGTTTCACAAAGGCCGAGAGACCACGCACAGGAAGGCGAAGTAACTCACCCAAAGTCACACGCCTGCTGGTCAGCACAGCTCAGAGGGGAGCCCAGGCGGTCTGGCTCCAGGAACCCTTCTGAGCAACCCCCTTATTTGCAGATGGAAATTAAGGTCCAGGGCGTGTCAGGGAGCCGCCCCGGGTCGCACAGCCAGGCCTCGTGACTTCCGCTCCGGGCTGGCTCTCTGGGCGGCTCCGCAGGGCTCGGTGTGTCTTTGCTTCTCACAGTGGGGCATGGATAGTGTGGCTCTTCTGCCATCTCACTTCCCTGACTCCACACACGCTCCAAGCAGACCCCTGGGCACTTCTCACACACCTGCCCCGTTAGCTGCTGCGGAGGCACCAGGCCGGGGACTCCGCGGCCACCTGCTGCCTTCACAGAGCGAAGCTTGTTCCTCACGATTGCCCAGGCCACAGGTGCGCTGTCCTCTCAGGGCCGCTGCCCAGGCCGGCAGGGCCGGCGCCCCCTCGCAGTCACTCCATCGCTGCTGCAACTTGGCTTCTTCTCTCTGTCAGAGGACAGCTCTGCTTGTCCCTGACTACCGGAGGGCCGTCCTCTGGAACTAGAGTCCCGTTTCTCCAGATCCTCTGGTGACGGAGGGGAGGGGGGTGGCTTGGCTCTCAGCGGGCGTGAAGGGGAGGGCCAGGGTGCTGAGAACTCTCCCTCCTTTTGCAGCGGAGTTCACGGGCCCCCCACAGAAGCCCCCGAGGCTGAGCGCACAGGTACGTGTGGGCTCTGTCAATTCTGTCAAGGCTCCCCGAGACTTAAGACCGCCAAGACTTCAGAGGCCCCCAGAAATAATCTAGCCCAGCGTCCTCTTAAGGCCCAGAGAGTGCCGTGCCATGCCTAAGGCCACACAGCGAATCTATGAAAAAGCAAGAAAGACCAGTCTCCTGTCTCCCGTGTCTCCTCCCCAACCTGAAGGGACAGCACATGGGTCCTGCCCCGGGAGCAGGAGGTGGGGGCCCCTGTCTCCCTGGAGCATGCCCCCTTGGCGTTCAGCTCCCACATGGCTCCTGCAGCAGCCTGGGCTGGGCGCTGGCTCTCCTCCCTCGGGAGCAGTGGCTCTCAGCCGTGGCTCTCCATTAGAATCACCGAGGGGCTTTTTCTGTGCCAGGGGATGGCTCAGTGGCCTGGCGTGAAGCTGGCCACCAGGATTCTGTAAGGCTCCCAGCCAGCCGAGTCTGATGTGAGAAGCACTGCCCGGAAGCAGAAGAGAGGGGTGGCCCCCCCCCCCTGGGACCGGGCACTGCTCTTTTGGGGAAGAGTCTTTTCAAGCTGGGCCAGTGGCTGCGTCGGCACCTCGAGTGCCCACCCAGGAAGGAATGGTAGCATCCCCCTGACTCGAGACACTCTCCTCCCTCATCCCCCCCCAGTCCATCCAGCCCACAGCCAACCTGGATCGGACCGACGACAAGGTGTACAGCAATGTCATGGACCTGGTGCAGGCTGTGCTGGACCTCAAGAACGAGCTCAGCCAGCTGCCCGCCGAGGCCTACGTGGGGGTGGTGAAGGTGAGCGCCAGGGCAGAACTGGGACCGGGTGGCTGGGAGGCTGCGCATCCCAGCCCTGGGAGGAGGGGTGAGGGCGGAGCTCCCTGGTCAGCCCCACAGGTGTCTTGACCCAGGAAGAACCCCCTTAGCTCAAGGTGGTCAAAGCCCATTGAGTCCTGGGAAGCCTGGGAAGGCAGCTGCCCGTCAGGGGTGCTCTCCCAGCTTCCTCCGCAAGCAGAAGCTGACCGGCGCCCTGCCCTTTCTCTCCCAGAAGGTGGGCCTGAGCCTGCGGAAGCTGATCGGCAGTGTGGACAGCATCCTGCCTTCCTTGCCGGCGTCGTCGCGTACGGAGGTGAGCGTCCTTGTCTCGGACAGAGCCTCCGGCTCCCCTTCGCCTCCACCTGCCCCAGCTGAGTTCACCCGGGAGGGTCACAGCCCCCTGGGCAGCCTCGTTGCTGCCTGCCGAGCCTCAGCAGGGGCCTTGACGGCGCGTCTGAGCTTGTTCCACGAGGGAATGAGTGGGCGCCCAGGGCCCTGGCCGGCTTCCTAGGGCCAGTTTCCCAGTTTAGGTCTCAGCAGCTGCAGGGACATCGTCAAGTGTGAGGACACACGAAGGGGGATGCACCTTCCCTCTCGCCCCTCCTGCGGTCCTTGATCTAGTCTCCTCCCTGCTAAAGTGACGGCAAGTGTGCTATGGAAACAGCAGTTCAGGTTGCTTTTGCTGGCCATTGAATCTCATTTTCTTTATTTAAGTGAGAAACGATCACAGAACACTAACATAGGAGGCTTGGCACTCTGTATTGAGATGGTGCCTGTGTAGGCAGAATAACGGCTCCTCAGATCGCTCCCTGTCCTAGTCCCCCGAATCCGGGACTCTGTTACCTCCCTTGGCAAAGGGGACTTTGCAGATGTGACAAGTTAAGGGTGTTGAGGTGGAGAGATGGCGCTGATTACAATGTAGTCACCGGGCCCGCGTAGGAGGGACGCAGAGCTCGTGTGAGAGGCCGAGACGGAGGGTGATGAGAGAAGCAGAGGTGGGAATGCTTTCAGATTTGGCTGGAAGGAAGCACAGGCCCAGCTGGGCAGAGTCTCCCCGGAGCCTGCTGGAGCACAGCCGGCTGTTACCTCGGCTTTAGCCCCATCGGACCTGGTCCAGACCTCTGACCTCCAGCACTGTGGGAGGACGCTCTGTGTGGCTTTAAGCCACTAGGTTGGCGGTGCTCCATCACCGCAGCGATAGGAAGCCCAGTCCGTGCTCTGACATCTGTCTGTCTGGAAATCAGACGCAGGCCCTGAGGAAGCCCACGGCCCCTGACCAGGTGACCACCAGAGCCCCCAGTCTGTGCTGCTCAAGACAGCACAGTGTTGGGGAGGGGGTTCCCGGCCTCCCTCTGGGTGGCAGCAGCAGCCCACAGAGGAGCCCGGGCCGGGCCGTGCCGTCTGACATGAGAGCACCTTGCCCTGGGCACAATGGCCCAATCACTCATGTCACCCAATAAACACCCTTGAGTGCTGAGCTTGTGCTCAGAACTGAGCTAAGCACCGGGCACAGGTCAGTAAACAAAATCCCACAACTCCATCCACGGTCCCAGAGCTCTTGATTTGATGATAGGCAGCTCACAGATGGATAAATGCACTTGACCTCAACCATCCGCTCGAACACTGGGCCAGCACGAGAAGACGCTGTGATAAGAGGAGGGCCTGTGGGGTTGGATCAGATGGGGCTGGCATGGGGTGGGCTAGGTGTTCTAAGGTGTCTACAATGGCAGTCCTTGGTGACTGGGCTCCGGCCTGTCCAGGGCCTTGCCCAGCCCTGGTCTGGGTCTGACTTGTCCCCAGAGAACTTCTGGCCGCTCCCATCAACACCAACGCGCAAAGCTTAGGTTCCCAACCTCTCCTGCGTGCTCCTCCCACAGATCGAAGGGACCCAGAAACTGCTCAACAAGGACCTGGCAGAGCTCATCAACAAGATGCGGCTGGCCCAGCAAAACGCCGTGACCTCCCTGAGCGAGGAGTGCAAGCGGCAGATGCTCACGGCCTCCCACACCCTGGCCGTGGACGCCAAGAACCTGCTTGACGCCGTGGACCAGGCCAAGGTCCTGGCCAACCTGGCTCACCCGCCTGCCGAGTGAGGGGCGGTGGGCCGCCTGCCCGCGTCTTCGCCCTGCCTGTCATGTGCTGCCCTTGCCCCCAGCCCCGCCCTGCCTTCGGCCACGTGGGTCTTCTCAGGGGGAAGGCCGAGAGGAGTCCTTCTCTTGCCACTTTGCACGACCCCCCTATCCCCACCCGACACCCAGACTGTGCTGCTCAGGCTGCAGCTGGACAGAGGGGACTCAGGGCAGTAGAAGCCAGGGAGGTGGCTACGAGGGCTCAGAGGGAGCACAGCGGCCACTGGCCATGTCCTTCGCCTACTGGCCGGGCCTGCTGGGGGTCCCATTGATGCCCCTAGTGGCCACGATGGCTTTGTGCATGGACATAGCAGGCCATTTGGGAACCAAGCCATTCATTCTTCTTCCTCTTCTGCCCACGGAAGTGCCCCCGATGCAGAGGGGCTTTCTTTTGCTGAAGGGGCTGGTTGGTGAGATGAGGGCTGGACCTGGCTCTCTTGTACAGTGTATATTGGAATTTATTTAATGTGAGTCTGGTCTGGACTGACAGCCACGCACCCCTGGAGCAGGGACCTGGGACGCTGTTCAGCCACAAGCTAGTGGGAGGCCAGGCACAGGGCGCCGTGTGACCAACGCGCCAACTGTCGGGAAGGGGAGTGGAGGCCACACGGGACTTGGACCATAATCCACTTTCCTCCTCAAGCCCACTTTTCTCTTCCTTCCTTATTTTGCCTCCTCCTCCTTCCTTCCTCTTTTCTCATTCCTCCCTTTCTCTCCCCTTCCTTACCGGCTTCCCCCCACCCTCCTCCTCTCTCCTGTTTGTGCAGATCACCCTTTATGTCCTTTCTATCTGCCTTGTGGATGAATTAAAGTGTACTATTTGCTTTGTGGTTTGACTGCTTTGCTTGTTTGACCTGCTGTCAGTAAGGGAACACTGACCTCAAACCACAGCCCTCCCTCGAAGAAATGGATGGTGCTCAGCTGGGCAGAGATCAAGGGCTGCTGCCCGGGCTCATCTGAGGGGCACCTGGTGACACCCAGGCAGTGGGGTCAGACATGAGCCCCAACCCCTGTGCCCCTGCACCTGAGCAAGGGGACATTTTCCCGTGGGGTCCCAGGGCAGCCCCCCACCCCCCATAGGCACGTGAGGATTGCCAGTGGAATGGCACTCTCGCAGCGGGCATGCCCACAACCAGGGCTCTGGGGGAGGTTCTGGGGATGCTGACGAGGGGTCCCACAAAGCAATGAACAGCAGCTTTCATTTCGTCTGATTGCTTTATTCACGTGCAAGATGGATGGGAGCCGGACTAACGTGGGGGAACATTTCGGCAGCAGGAGATCCAGGCTGGGGGAGCCAGGAGAGAGGGAGGGGGGGTTGGGGCTGTGTGCACTGAGGCAGGAAGGGGTCAGAAGTCAGAATAGACCGCTGAGGGGGAGGGGAGAGAACTGAGGAGCGGAGGCTGGGCTGAGGTGTCTTGGGTTTCCACTCGGTCTGTCAGGGAACGGCGAGTGGGGACTTTGGGAGGAGAGGACCCCAAAAGCCGAAGGGAAATTGGAGGCTCGCTCTGCTCGGCTTTCTGCCTGGGGTCCCCACACCGACCCAAGAACCCAGTACCCACATCTTTGGCTGCTGGGGACGTGGGTCTAGATGGGGCGGGGGCGGGGCCTGATCACCGCAGCCAGGGCCAGGGACTGCTGGATTCCGAGGTTCGAGAACAGACTGCTCAGAGCTGGTCAGACTTGCCATGGGGCTTCGGGAAGGACGGGGAGGGCCTGCTGGGCGGGGAAGGGGTCCTGGGTCCCGCGTGTCTGCATGTGCACAGCAGTCTCGGGTTCAGAATAATCCCCTCACTGCCCTCAGCCCCTCCTGAGGGCCCTATGGAAGGAGGGAGGGAGCAGGCTGTGGGCTTGATGTAGCTCAAAAGTGGCTCCGGATGGCCTGTGGTTTGTCCACATGAGTTGAGAGGCAGATGGTGCCCTGTAGACAAGGACCCTCAACCTCTTGGGGCAGCTGGTGCTGAGCCGCTTTTCGGGGAGTGGGGGTGGAGGGCAAGGCTAAAGGGGAGGGCATGTCTCAGGACTCACTGGAGCTGGGTGGGCTGGCCCAGTACCAGCATCCAATCATGCACCCTCCTTCCTCTGTCGAGGGTCCCCCCTGCATTTCCCCTCCACTGCCCTGCCTCCCCTCCTCTCCTTCCGGAAAGCCTTCTCCGATCTACTGTCAGATCTGTGGTCTCAGGCTCTGAACCCCTTGGTCTACCTGGTTCAGACACCCCAACCCACCTTCCCCACCACCACCCTCTGCTCTCCACACTGGACCAAGCCCACACTTCAGTCTCATTCCAGGACCCACAACGTGCACCCTGCGGCGCCTTTTCCCCCCTCATCCCAATGACACCTCCTTTGAGGTCTGTGTTCTGTTCCTCTTCACCTGCCCCCACCCCACCCCTGCCATCTGCTCCCCCTGCTCGGCCCTCCTGTCACTCATGTTTGTAGAGCTCCTTCAGGGGACGCTCACGAGCTTCACATCGTCAGCGCCACAGCGTCGCCTTCTGCAGAGCAGCTGCCTCCTTTCCTGCTCCTGGGCATCCAATACAGCTCCGGGCCCAGGAGCGGCTCCGCACGGCGGGCCCTTCCGCCACGTGAGAGGCACCCGCAGTCACGTGGTGTGGACCCCAAAGGTTGACTCTAGAGGCAGCAGCAAACACGGTCAGCGGAAGCCAGGGATGTGAAATCAGATCATTCCGGCCAGGAGCGGGGGCAGGAAGAGTCCCACGGTCCCCAGGATGCAGACGATGATGAACAGCCAGAGGAAGATCCTGTCAATGACCATGGCCACGTACTTCCAGTCTTCTTTGACCTGCAGGGGGAGGGCACCCAGAGATAGGCCCCAGCCTTGGAAAGGGGCGGGTCCCACGCAGGCCCAACCCCCGTGAAAATGGCACAGGGGCAAGGGGTGCCTCAGGGAGACCGTGAGGAGCTAACATGGGGGCGAGTGTGGAGTAGCGTGGTCTCAAGACTCAAACAATATTTTCCTAAGTGATTCCCACCCTGTCCTGCCCTTGACATAGGCCAGAGCTTTCCCCGAGGCTCTCAAGTTCAAGGTGAGAGAGGCTGGAGGGGACAAGCAGGTTCCGGGACCACCCAGGGCCCACAGTGGCTTAAACACACCACCCCGTATTTACAGATGGGGAAGACTTCACTGCCCCACATTGCTCCCGCAGCCCCCACTCATCCACCTACCCTAGAAGGTGGAGAGAGGGGGGGGAGGGGAGGTATCCAGGGAAGGTTGGGGGAGTTCGGGGGTGGGGGGCCGCTTTGTGGGTTTGGGGCTCACAGTGCAGGTGAGTGGGTCTGAACTCATAGCTGATCCCAGATTAGATCATGATGAATGTTTCTTATCAACTCCACAAGGCCACCCAGGAATAGCCTCCGGGCCTTTCACCCTCCCCTTGGTTGTTAAGAAGAATTCTGTGATCCTGGGGAGTGGCCAGCTCACCTAATGATGCCGGACATGGCAGAGGCCAGGGAGGGGGCCCACCTGGTGGACAGTGAAGCTCACAAAATGCCCAGGGCCCACAAACGAGGAGGAGGGAGACATCAGGACAAAGGAGGAAGCAGCAGCCTGATGTGTGGTCTCTCAGGATGATACTCCCTCTGTCCCCCCCCCCCCCCAAACAAAACAAAACAAAACGGGACAATGGTGGGAAATGGCGGAGTGGCTGAGAAACTCTGCACCTGCGATCCCTCCCTCCATCTTGCTGCCTCCCAGTCAGGCTTCGCTGGTCTGCCACCTGCCAATTCATGTCTTAAGAGCTGCCGACTAGACATTCTCCCTCACTGTTTATTTCCGACTCCCAAGGCCGTGACTGAGGGCGATGGGTCCTCTCACTGAGGAGACTGGTTTGGCCCACCCAACACCCTGGGGTAAGGAGATGCCCTAGGCTGGTGGGGCCACCCAGGGGACGGTCCCGGTCCCAACTCACTGAAGAGTCGGCGTCCTCAGACCGCAGGTGATCAGCAATGTAGAGCACGCCTTCCAGTGCCTTCTGCAGGCGAGGTGACAGCAGGAGCCCACCCTTCTGCAACGGGGCCTTGGCCTTGGGACCGGAGACCCTTTGGTGCAGACCACCATGGCTGTAGAGGACATCCATGGAGGAGGATGACACCCATCTGTCCTCCTCCTCTTCCTCCTCTTCCTCCTCCTCCTCCTCCTCTTCCTCCTCTTCTTCCTCCTCCTCTTCCTCCTCCTCCCCCCTCTCCTGCGCATCCATGTTGGTCTCCAGCCAGCAATAGGAGGGATCGAGCTTCAGATCTGGGGAGCCCTGGAGTTCCAAGGGTGGCAGAGGCCGTTTCATCAGGAGCCACCGGGACACGTGGCTCAGGAAGGGCCCCCGCACCCAGCGGGGCATGTTGTGGGTGCGGGGGGAGCGGTGGTGGACGTTGAGGACGAAGACCGTGATGACGATGGACAGGGTGACAAAGATCATGGTGAAGAGCAGGTACTCGCCGATGAGCGGGATGACCAGGGAGGTGGAGGGGATGATCTCGGTGATGAGCAGGAGGAAGACCGTGAGCGAGAGCAGCACGGAAATGCACAGAGTGATCTTCTCGCCGCAGTCGGAGGGCAGGTAGAAGACCAGCACGGTCAGGAAGGAGATGAGCAGGCAGGGGATGATGAGGTTGATGGTGTAGAAGAGGGGCAGGCGCCGGATAACGAAGTAGTAGGTGACGTCGGGGTAGATCTCGGCGCAGCAGTCGTACTTCTTGGTGTTGTAGGTGGCGGTGGCATTGATGATGGCCCACTCGCCACTCTCCCAGTAGTCCTGCAGGTCCACCGTCTGCTCCATCGGCTGCAGGTCGATCTTGGCCTTGTCGTACGACCAGGAGCCGAACTTCATCTTGCAGTTCTGCTGGTCGAAGGGGAAGAAGGTGACGTCGATGCTGCAGGAGCTCTTGTAGATGGCCGGGGGCACCCAGTGCACGGTGCCCGAGGAGAAGAGGTGGGCCTTGGTCATGTGGTTCACCACAAACGCCCCGTCGGCACTAAGGAGAAGAGGGGAGCTGGAGGGCCTGGCACACCCCACCTGCCCAGACCAGGCTGCAGCAGGGGCACCCGACCACAAAGCCAGGCTTGGCCAGGTTATTGGGTTTTAAGCCAGTGTGTGAGGCTCCCCCAGCACACTGCCATTTATAGCTATGGGGCTCTTTTCAAGCACCATTTATATATATAACAAAGCAGAAATATTGAAGAATATAAAAATATTCCAAGAATGTCAAAAACAGCCACTATTAACATTCTGATGTTATATCCTATATAATAAAGAGCTAATATGCTAATTAGACTGAACAGCAGAATTATCGTCTGGATGAAACCGGGGCTGTGAGGGCCTACTCTTACACGAATTTTATGCATCAGGCCTCTAATATATATATATATATATATATATATATATATATATATATATATATATATATATGTGTGTGTGTGTGTGTGTGTATATATGTATGTATATGTATGTATATATGTATGTATATATGTATGTATATATGTATATATGTATAAAATAAAAGGCTAATATGCAAATGGTTGTCATGCTGTGACATGTAACAACCGATTAGCAGGGACCTGAGGTCACTTGGCACCCGGAGGGCTTGACTGGGGACCTCAGATTGTGCACCCCCCCACCCCCACCCCCACCCTGGCACCAGGCTGGGGGACCTCAGGCTGTACCCCCCACCTGGCCGGGCTTGACAGGGGACCTCAGGCCATGCTCCCCAGGTGGGGAGCTTGATAGGGGACCTTAGGTCCCCCTATCATTCCCCCTGCCCCGGTGCCTGGCTGGGGGACCTCAGGCCACGCCCCTCACCCCAGCACCAGGCCAGGGAACCTCAAGCTGCGCCCCCTGCCTAGCAGGGCTTGATGGGAGACCTCAGGCCATGCCCTAGGGTGGGGCCAGCCAGATCTGGCTCTCCTGCGATTTCAAAGCACATGCGGGTGGGCAGGGACTTGACTCTGAGTCCTGCGGCATGCCCCAGACTCTGACAGGAGGAAGATTTTCATATACATTTTACTAATTTTCTTTCATCTGTGACACTTCTATAAGAGAAAGGGCAAATAGCAATATTAAAATATTTCCTCTAATTAATTCCCTTTTAATGTGCATGAATTTTGGGCACTGGGCCCTATACATATAGAATATAGAATATAGAATATAGAATATAGAATATAGAATATAGAATATAGAATATAGAATATAGAATATAGAATATAGAATACAGAATACAGAATACAGAATATCGAATATAGAATATAGAATATAGAATATATATTTTTGATTGCCCTATAGATCATATATATATATATATATATTATATGTTTATGGGGTAGTCTAGCTTGATTTTTCTGTTTGTGTCCATTTACTCATGTGAAGTGATTATTTATGAGTGCATTTTCTCCCCCCAAGCAAATGGTAAGGACCTCGACTGGGGGTCACACCTTGTCCACCTGGGGTCCTGAGTAGCTTGCTGAGAAGAGACCCAACATCTTTGTTAGCAAAGGAAGGTAATTCCTGGATACCATCCATTTACCGAGCATTTCCGAGCCAGCCTCACCCACTGGGCCTACACGGAAGCTGTGGGGGACAGTGTGAGACTCAGCCTGCCCTGAAGGAAGCAGGAGGAAATGGGACACAGCCCCAAGCACCCACCCCCCAAGGGAAGTGGTCTGACAGCAGCGCTCTAAGGGCTGTCTGAGCTCTCCTCGGGAACTGCGTGGGGAACTCGCTTCTGGCTGAGTGAGCAGGGTCACCATGAAAGCTGCCACTTGAGCGAGGCCCTGACTGATGACAGAACTTGGTGGGAGATGAGGTGGAGAAGGTCCGAGCAGAGCATCCTCCAGAACAAGGAACAGGAGGCGAAGCACAAAATCCATGGGGTGTGCGTAGATTAAAGGGGCAGGGCCTGCTGCATGACCGAGGGAGGCATCAAGGGCCCACCGGGGCTCTGGAAACACTGGAATTGGGTGCCGGAACCCCTGATTCCCTCTAGAAGGTGGCGCGGTGTTCTGCTCCCTAGTCCTATGTAATAAAAGCGTAGTATGCAACTTGTCCCCTGGACCCGGAGTTTGACCAGGGGGCGGGGCCGGCTGGGGGAAGGGAGGGAGTACCCTGCTGGCAGCCAGCATTGCTAGGGACCCATGAAATTCATGCATGGGATCTTTAATCTTTAATAATTCTCAAGGTCAATCCTAAAGGCAGGAGAACCAGAACATGCAAGAAGAGAATTCTTTCCCATGGAGTCATTCCAAGTTAGAGATTAGAAAACCGGAACCTTAAAAAAAACAGAAAACAAACAAACAAACAAAAAAACACTGGCCCAGCCAGTGGCATGGCTCAGTGGCTGAGTGTTGCCTATGAACCAGAAGGTCAAAGTTCGATTCCCTGTCAGGGCACATACTGGGGTTTCAGGTTTGAGCCAATAGTGTGGGGCATGCAGGAAGCAGCTGATTAATTATTCTCTCTTATCATTGATATTTATATATATATATCTCTTCCTCTCTGAAATCAATAAAAAATATATATTTAAAGAAAATGCTCGGAATTTTGAAAGAGAATCACAGATCAGGCAAAAGTTAAAAAAAAAAAATAAAAATTTAAAGGCATTGTGTCATCACACATAATCACCACTAGATGGCCACATGCCCCCTGTTTTGAGGAAGGAGAGTGTGATTTCTTTGATCTTCCTGTAACTCTGGAATCGGGGGAGATCCTTCTTCAAATATAAGAATTTGGTTTGCACTTTTGTCCTATCGTAAGATTCATCTGTTATATTCTGGTAACACTGGCCAAAGCCTGATTGGCAATCCTCAATCCCCAGGGCATCTGTGATGCTGAGGACTTGGCGTCTGACCTGTGCCAGAAGCACATGAAGCCGAAGGTCTTGGGTACTGGCTTCAGGGCACAGAGATATGGGGGAGGTGTCCGTGATTCTGGGCAGCAGCAGGCCCTGGGCCCCTGCGGTGTGGACTTCCGGTAGCCCATGCTGACTGTTCAGAGAAATGGCTCCACTGAGAGGCAATTCTTGTGGTTGCTCTCCGATCCAACCGGAGGCACCAAACCTCCAAAAGTGTATCTTTCCCCTTTGTCTTGTTTTTTTTTTTTAAAAAAAAAAAACGGTGTTTCCAAAGTTGGCTCCAACGAATCGGGAAATGCCTGGCTGGATTGGTTTCCTGCCTGCACAGCTTCTAACATTGAGATGCTACTGAGTGTACTGACATTTCCCGAAGGACTGGGAGGTCAACATGGAGGCGATGTATGTTATCCAGAATTATCTGGCCACAGGACCATTTCTTCATGTCTGTTCACATCTCCAGGTTTTCCTGAGAGCCCCACTTTAGACAGCATCCCATGTCAGATGAACACAATGCCAAATACCTTTTCATTTTAAACTCTAGCCTTTCCAATGAAGAACTACCTGCAGCCAAACACCATTTGTCCTTCCCCTCCCTCCTCTGTTGCCGGGCTCTCTAGAGACCATCCGGCCTTGTCCTGGCTTCTAGTCATTATGCTCAAAGTCTGGTCGTGTTTGGTCTGGAATACAAGGCAACTGTAAGTGATACGATTTTTGAAAATACCCAGGCCAAGGGAGCTTGCTGCCTTCGAGGGCGGTAGGTACCCCAGCCGCTGCTTACCTGTTCCAGCAGCACTGCCATCCTGCAAGAGCCCAGCCTGAGGCATTGCTTTCTCAGCCCGCACCAACCGCGCTTTGCAAATAACAGCGTTGGGAAACCCGTATCCTACCCGCACAGCACCAAGCACTGATACACGATAGGTGCTCAGTACATTCGGGTGTGTGGGTAATGATAGATCCTCCCTTCCTCCAACCGATGGACAGAGTAAACACCTGCAGCCGGACATTCCTGAGCACTGAACCACTAATCAGCACCTGCCAAATACCCCAAGCTCCCAATTCCTAAGTCCCTAGGTCCCTAATCATAGGCCTTACATGAAACCACCAATCAGCATGTGCTGAGTGCCCTAAGCCCTGTCCCCTATCCCCCCCTTAAAAAGGTGCTTGTACCCCGGCCCTCACTCTCTTCCGCTCTTTCTCTGGAAGCAGCCGGCAGTGGTACTCTTCTCTCCAACAAAGCCTGTGTCCTGGCATCCCGCTCTCCGGCCCCTCTCTATTTCATCTTTCAGGTAAGAGAGCAATACGAAAGAAATAAGGGCCTCCAGAGAAAGGGTCGGAGTAGGAGCCAGTGATAGCAAAACAGGACTTCGGAGGAGGACGTACAGGTGAGACACAGGGGGCGCGCTTTCCCAGTCCAACCCACAAACTCCTCCCAGGGCCCCCCCCGCCCCCAGGCCCCAGCGGCCTCCTACTTGTTGTAGAGGACAATGTCCGGGATCCAGATCATCTCCGAAGGGACCCGGAGGGATGTGATGTTGCCGAACTCCGCCGGGTTCCAGCGCAGCTTGTAGTCGCTCCACTCCTGTGCGTGGGGAGGGGGGTCAGGGCGCCCGGTGCCGGCGGGGAGGAGGTCTCAGGGCAATCGTGGGGCCGCCCCGGACGCCCCAGCAGCCGCGTTCAGGGGCACCAGAGCTGGTCACCCAGCCCCACCGAGCAGAGGGGCTCGGGGCTGGGAATCCGGAGTCTGGCCGGACGTGGCCAATCTCTGGCTTTGCCCAGCCCTCATGTTCAGAGTCCCGGGCACACTTAGACCCTAAGTCACCCTAGTCCCGCTTCTAGGCATCTTCATTCTGCTACTTCCTAGCGGGACGACGTAGCGGAGGGAGAAGGGAGGACCTCACTCATTTGCAGTAACATTTTTTTTTTTTTTTAAGCATTACAATTTACAGGGGTTTTTTTGCACCCGGGCAGGGAATGCCAAAAGGTGAAAGTATTTCTCCACATCACAGATAAGGAAACTGAGGAGCAGAGAGGTAAAAACCTGCCAGAAGCCGAAACCAGTTTGGCTCAGTGGTAGAGCGTTGGTCTGCGGACTGAAGGGTCCCAGGTTCGATTCCGGTCAAGGGCATGTACCTTGGTTGCGGGCACATCCCCAGTAGGGGGTGTGCAAGAGGCAGCTGGTCGATGTTTCTCTCTCATCGACATTTCTAGCTCTCTATCTCTCTTCCTTCCTCTCTGTAAAAAACCAATAATATATATATATATATATATATATATATATATATATATATATATATATATATATATTTAAAAAAAAAACCTGCCAGAATATACTGCTAAGAAAGATTAGTATTATTAACTCTCTGAAGTTTCCTCTAACGCACTGTCACAAACGGTAATTACATGTGGACATGCGTGTTTGTTGATTTAATGCCTCTGTAAGGTCCATGAAGACTAGGACAACATCTGCATTTCTAGCACCTGGCCCCTGATAGATGCTCAATAAATGAATATCCCAGCAATGAAAAAACTCCCAAGTTGTAGGGTCCTATTTCTGGGAGAGTTTCCTGTGTCCCTTTTGGACCTAAAAGGAACAACCACTCCCAAGAGAGAACGACTGGCATTGACATACAAGCCTGTCCTTGCCTCATGGGGGCTTATAATCCTAATATATAAAAAGCCAGGGTCTGTTACGACCAAAACAACCATATGAATGACCGAACAGCAGGCTGTGTGGGGGAACCAGGCCAGCGAGTGGGGGGGGGGGCAGTTTGGGGCTACCAGGCTGGTGGGGGAAGTTGGGGGTGATCAGTCCAGCAGGGGAGGAAGTTGGGGATGATTAGCCCTGCAGTGGGGAGCAGTTAGGGGCAATCAGGCAGGCAGGTGAGCAGTTAGGAGCCAGCAGTCTCAGATTCTGAGAGGAATCCCAGATTGGAGAGGGTACAGGCTGGGCTGAGAGAGACCCCAACCCCCATGCACAAATTTTGAACAACGGGCCTCTAGTAATTACAATAATAACCACTACCATCTATAAAGTCAACTTTGTTGGCAGCACTGGGGCTTGAACCCTGCCTCCTGGTCCATGGGCCATTTTGCTTTTGTGCCTTTGCACTAAAACGGCGCCTTGTGGGAAAAGGCTCATGCGTGATGCCATTTTCCCTCTGGGAATAGTCATGTAACATTTACACAGATGTGTGAACCTGGGGGGATCAGGGAGGAGAGGAAACTGGCCCATTAGAGGAAAAGCCCTGCCCTTACTCCTGCCTTCACCGGGAGGGGCCCTCACCTGCTTTAGCCAGACGTTGGTGGTCATCATTTGGTTCTTCTCATCCTGGTCGGGAGCAGTGGGAGAGAGGAGAGGAGAAGTTAGAGCAGCAGAACCAGCCCCAGAAGACAGGGAGACCTGGGGGTGGGCTGACTGAAGCCCCTCCCTCTCCAGAAATCTGTCTTACATGATACAGCAAGCCCAGCCCGGCCAACACCCTCCAAACACTGTGGCCCTCACTCAGATTCTTCAGGATCACACAGGCCACTTGGGTCCCCTGGGCTTGTGTCCAGTGAACGAGCAAAGCATCTAGACAGCCCACCGCTAACTCAGTGTCCTCTCAGGAGGGGCCCCAGGGCTAGGAGGGAGGTAAGCTCTGATTGGGGTGGGCTGGGGGTGCACAGGGACAGGCGCTGGAGCTGAGGGGGGAGAGAGGACCCCAGGAAGGGGTTCTGTGATCTGGGGGCTGGTCCCTAGGGCTCAAGGGCGTTGGGACAGCCATACCACATCGATGAGCTGGGCTATGGACAGCCCGAAACGCACGATGACCACGTCCGAGGAGTGGGGCACTGGCCGTGCCCAGCGGTTGTAAGCCCTGAAGAGGTGTTTGAAGAGGCGATCCTCGGCTTGGATGTGGGGGGCTCTGTGGGACACTGTGGGACAGGAAGGAAGAGTGGGGGCTCCAGGAGTCCATGGTGGTGGCTGCCCAACTCCCTCTCCCATCAAATCAGAGCCGCTCAACCGCACGCAGCCTCAGTTTCCTCATCTGTAAAGTGGGGACACTCTCCGGAACCTATCTCACAACACTATTGAGGATTCCATAGGACAATGCAGTGGTCGGCAAACTCATTAGCCAGCAGAGCTAAATATCAACAGTACAACAATTTCAAAAGATTGAAATTTCTTCTGAGAGCCAAAGTTTTTAAACTTAAACTTCTTCTAATGCCACTTCTTCAAAAATAGACTCGCCCAGGCCTTGGTATTTTGTGGAAGAGCCACACTCAAGGGGCCAAAGAGCCGCACGTGGCTCGTGAGCCTCGGTTTGCCGACCACTGGGATAATGTATATGCGAACTTAACAACCAGCACATGGTTGGAACTCAAGAAATGTCCGTTGCTCTTTGACTGTTCTCTCCGAAGGCATGGAAACAGTGCTGAGGAGGGGTGTCAAGGCCGAGGAGTGAGGAAGAAGTCAGACCGAGAGACCGAAGTGCAGCCCAGAACTGAGGAGCTCAGGGAAAGTGTCCCTAACCTGTCTGACGGGACTCTCCGTGTCTGTTCTGTGGACAGCTTCACCTCGTAGGTTCTGCTGCCTGAGCGGGTGGAGGCGAACATCCGGAGAAGCACGTCCATAGCAGCAGACGCCATGCATCCAGCGTAACTGTATTCCAGGCGCCAGTCACAGCCTCTCATCGCATGGGGATCCTTCCAGCCCGCCTGGGAGGGTCACAGCACGCCTGGCACTTGTGGATGAGGGACACTGGACCCGGGGTTCTGGGTGCCACAGCTGCCGGTGTCTGACCTGTGCGCGCCCTGCCCCTCACTGTGGATCTAACAGCTTAGAGACCCTGCAGATCTGCCACGATCCCCCCCCCCCCCCCCGATACCCACTCAGGAGTTTCCTCCATAGCATGTGAGCTCGCAGGTGTGACCTGATGTCCTCGTGATGACACTTACTCACCTGCTGGGGTCAGAAGGAGCCACCACAGGCCGAGCTTGGCCATGGGTGGGAGTGCAGGACGGGAGGGGCCCATGGCTTCCGAGGAGAGGTCTGGCTGCCCCAGGCATCAGGAGGAGGACAGGCCAGGGCTTTGCTATGGTTGAATCTCGGCTGCCTCCCCAGCAGGGCCTGGAGTTGCTGGCATGGCAGAGCTCACGCTGGATCCCACGCAGCTCCCTCTCACCGCCAAACCTGAGCAAGCCCAAGGGAGGGTCTTAGGGACACGCATCCTTGTTACAGATGCACCTTTGCACCTCCCACTCCGCACATTTGTGAAAGTTGAGGACCAGGCCTCCTGGGAGGGGAGGGCTCTTGGGCCCTCCTTGGTTTGAGGACCAGCACCTTTCATGTTCTCAGGGTCAACCAGCTATTCTGCCCTGAGTTACGCCTGGGCTCGGTGGACACAGGAAGCCACAAATGACACCAAAGTCCCCATTTTTCTGTTCTCAGTGTTGCGTATGTAAAACGAGGATAGGCAGGCCAGGCAGTGTACCTCAGTGGCTGAGTGTCGACCTTGAACCAGGAGGTCAAGGTTCAGCTCCCGCTCAGAGCACATGCCCAGGGTTGCAGGCTTAATCTCCAATGGGGGCTGTGCAAGAGGCAGCCAGTCAACGATTTTCTCTTATCATTGATGTTTCTATCTCTCTCTCTCCCTCTCCCTGTATTGTTTCCTGACGTCAATAAAAATATATTTAAAAAATAAAATAAAATGAGGATAAACATACTGAAAAAGGGAGGCCAAAAGGAGAATTCTGGTGCTACTTATGCTAGCCAAGGGGTGCAAGTGCCCAAATGCCAATCAGCTGAGGGCTGGACTGACAAAACATGGTACATCCATAAGATGGACTGCCGTGCAGTCACAAAAAGGATGAGTTGCTGACACCTGCTACGGTATGAATGAACCTTGAAAACATTATGCAGAGAAAGACACCAGACTCAAAAAACCATATGTTCTATGATACGTGTATGTGAAGTATCCAGAATAATGAATCTATGAGGACAGAAAGCAGATTAGTGATTGCCAGGTTTGGGGGGAAGGGAGAAAAGGGAGGGATTGCAAATGGTGCAGGTTTCTTTTGGGGAGATGAACGTGTTCTGTACATAGAGATGATGATTGTGAATAGACTAAAATTCACCACCTTGTACACTTTAAACATATGCGTGTTATGGTATGTGAATTATATCTCAAAGACGCTGTTATTTAAAAAAAAAAAAAAAAAAGCTTCAACATCTTCTGGAATGATAAGAAATAGCCAATTCTGTTTAAACTGTGGAGACGAGACTATAAACCAGACTGTAGGCAGCTGGTTCAAACCGTGCTTCTGGTTACGCGCAGGACACTGATGTTGAAGATGTGAGTGAAGTGTGGAGAGCGGGAGAGAGCTGTGTTTTTAAGTGAGTGTATTGTTTTATACAGTATGTGAATGATAACATGTGCCACCAGAAAATATATGAATATTATCCTAAAAAGTTTATCTATTCAAGCTAGTGTTTTAAAAAATCAAAACCTTCCTCATTAGGAGGCTGGGGTTGTCTTAGGTTCAGGCACATCTTCTTCATATCAATGTGTTAGGCTCTGGCCAGGTCCTCAGCATATAATCTGACTCTCGATACAAATAGTGGGCACCAGGGTTTCCTTTTAGGATAACGAGAATGCTCTAGAATTAGATAGGGGTGGCAACTGGCACAGTACTGTGAATGTACCAAATGTCACTAACGGTGAGTTACATGTTATGTATATTTTACCACAATCTAAAAAGAAGAAAAGGATATGGCTGGAAGTGCGTTACCAGTGTCACCACCGAGTTCATGTGGGGACCAGAATTATTATTAATGGGGTCATAAAACCGGTTCGATCTGGCTCCCTCTCATGCCCCCAGGCTATTCAGACTCAGCGCTTGGAGTAGGGGTTCCATCACTGGTGCTTCACTTCTCCTCAACCCATCACCCCACCCTCCCGCCCTCCATGCAGGAGAGGCGTTTGTAACTGTGGCTTTGAGTCTTGGCCCCACCACCTGCGGGGCAGCCTTGTGCAGGGCACTGGACCCGCTGGCATTTTGTCTTATCTAGAAGAGAAGGATGGCACACTCTCTACCCCCGAGGATGTATCCCGTCCCTTCCGAACTTCCCTGGGGCCATCAGTGACTGCCTGACTACCTGATCTCCTCTAGCGCCAGCATCTAGAAGTTTTGTTTGCTTCTAAAATAAAGAGGGGTTTTAAAATTCAGTCGTTTAGCGCTATAATCACCCATACACAAGGAGCCCCCGCTTTGTTTTCGGTTCATTGTAAGAAGACAGGGCCGGGCGAGCACAAGGAGAGAAGATTCTAGGGTTCCTTGGCTGACAACTCCTAGAGGATCTTCCTAAGGACTGTTGACATTTGTGCAACTTTAAGGTTTGCAAGGCATTTTCATGCCCTTTCTTAGACATCACATCACCCTGAGGAGGGCATGGGGAAGATACATTATTATCCCTTTTATATAAATTTAAAAAATATTGATGTTCAGAAATAGTGACTGATTTGCTTCTAAACTATGATGCAGTAAAGCACTACCCAATGGTACCAACCAGGAGGGGGATTCTGTGAGCACCTGGGCCAGCACTTGTTACAGGTCTAGCACTGTTATTGCGAAGCCACTATCAGGACAGAAGTCTGCAGTGGGCAGGTGGTGAGAAGGGATAGGTATCCCACTCCAAAGTCAGACTCACCTAGATCCACGGTTGTAGGCGGTTCTTCTATGTGCAAAATTCACTCCCTCCTCCTTCCAATCAAATGCACTAAATAAAACAAATATTTCCCCCCCTCGTTAGTGAGAATAGGAAGGAAAAATAGAAATCCAGGCGTGCTAAAATTGCATCCCTATCAAGATCCAAAGAGAGGTACCTAGGACCCTCTGGAAGAATGTCCAAAGGTGATTTCAATGGACTCTGGAAGACACATCCCTGCAAGATGCCTCAAAGTTACATCCCTTGTAATTAGCACACTATGATAATTTCATTAATTTGTCACGGGAAACCAAAGGAGAAATTGTTCCAGGTAATTGACTGTCATTAGAGTGACCTTCTACTTCCTATTAGAAAGATAGTAAAGGAGAAAGAGCCCTAAACACTTTGGTCCTGGAAGTGGCTGGATTGGCAGGCTTATGGGAGAGGTGGCTGTGGGGTGATGTCCCTGTTTGTAAAGTGGGTCTGAGTGAATGGAGTGCGCAGAGAGATCCACACAAAAACATTGCACAAAGGGCTCAGCACTAACATACCCACTGAGCCTGTATTACTGTGTCAAGGTTCCTTGGGCTTGCTTCTTTGTCTATCTTCCTACGGCAGCTGGTTTACAACCTCATACCCACCAGGCCACGTTCTGTCCTTTTCTCAAGCACCAACTTCTCCAGAAAGCCTGTTCAGATCCCAGCAGTCCCTCCCTGCCATTAACCCCCCACCCACTCAGTATGGGAGTCTCAGTTCCCCCGCAACCATCAATATCCCGAAGAAAGCCCCTTGGTTAAAGGAAATGGAATTTCCCCCCCACATAATTTCACCAAAGGTGCTTGGGCGTGGGGTGGGGTTAGTGGGGAAGCATTGTATGTGGTAGTTTGTATAACTGCTCTGCTCAATAAACTGAGCAATCGCAGAAGCTTAACGTCTCAAGGTTGGGCGAATCTTAAAGGTCATCTGGATCACCACACCGGCTGATCTAGGAACGCTCTCCAAATTCTAGCCTCAGAAAAAAAAAAACCAAAAAAAAACCAAAAAAAAAAAACCCCAGCAATGAAGAACTTGCTACCTCCCGAGTCAGTGAATACCATTGATGCCTGTTACTCATTATTTAAAAGACATAGAGTAGTGACTGAATGAATCAATACACGACAAAGGAAGGAATAGAAGTCATCATGACATCGGATCAGATTTAATACAGTATATAGTAAAGCTATAACTCCTGAAGCTAGCTGGCTTCCCTTCTCAGTGGGAGGGGTTGACTGTCTGAACAGCCCCAGTGGAGACAACTGGAAAACTACAATTTTCCTAGCAGCCGGTAACTTCCAGCATTCTGACATACCCCCTCCTAAGTACCCAGAAGCTATTCATCTATCTGGTAATATCCCTTTCACCTCACCCCCACAATGTCCCCACACCCACAATGTTTCCATCACAAGTCATGGGGGCACCTTTCTTACCTGAGGCCACAGAAGAAGACCGGCCATTCAAAGAATGCGGAGATCCTGGTCAGCTGACAAAAGTCCCCCCAAACAGAGAGGCAGGTGCAGAGCAGAGCTGGGTGCCTTCATTTCGTGGTCACTCTGAGGCTGACGAGGAGGACCGGATTCTGAGAGTCCGGCTGACTTCCTGGGGAGGGCCAGACAAGTTCTACAGACAGGTCTGTCTGTCTGGGGCTCCCAGCAAAGCCTCAGGCAGGTGCTCTGGAGGAGGGCATTGTGGAGAGCTGGACACAAAGGCTTCTGCAGGTAAAAGGCAAACCCGTCCACAGGAGACACTGCTGCCTTGGCAAGCACACACACTCACACTCTCATCCTCCCTCTCTCTGAAGGGAAGGAGGAGGAGGAGCCTGTGACTATTCAGTCTGTGTCCAGAGGGGACAGACAACAGATTTGCTTTCCCTTTCCCAGTTACTAGGATGCTTTGCTTTTTGCTCTGAAGGACCCCAGGCTCCCACCCTCAGGTGGGGGATCTCCCGAGTCCTGGGTCTGTGGGTCAGCAGAAAAGTATAGTTTTGAGTAAAAGAGGATGGAGTCACTGAAGAGCCAGCCTACAGTTTTCTCCTTGCCCTTCCCACCAGAGTCCCCATCTCTCACAGCCAGCCTCCTGTGGGGACACCAGGTCACTCCTGCTACCACCCGGTTGGCCTGCCACCTCTCAGCCTCCTTGATGGTGATCTTGCCTTCCATTTCTCAGAGAAGCAAGGTTAGACTCATCCCAATCACAAACAGACCTCTGGCATCCTCTCTTCCAGCATCAAACCGGGAGTTCTGTTCCTCCTTCCGTGCAGGCAAAGTTAGCACCTGTGGTCTTGATGGTGTC